AAAAACTGAGAGAATTCAATGGTAGTAGGCTTACCCTGAAAGAATGGCTAAAGTTTGTTCTCTAAACAGAAAGGAAACAACTAAAGAACGAAGCCTGGAATATTAGGGAAGAGCAAAGAGCACAGTATACAAAAACACAATAGGCTTTTTTTTCTTTTTGCTTCTTGAGTTTATATATATATATATATATATATATATTTTTTTTTTTTTGGAGGGGGGAGACAGAGTCTTGCTCTGTTGGCTGGGCTAGAATGCCGTGGTGTCAGTCTAGCTCACAGCAACCTCAAATTCTTGGGCTTAAATTCTGCCTCCCGAGTAGCTGGGACTACAGGCATGCACCACCATGCCAGGCTAATTCTTTTTTCTATATATTTTTAGTTGTCCAGCTAGTTTCTTTCTATTTTTAGTAGAGACGAGGTCTTGCTCTTCCTTGGGCTGGTCTTGAACTCCTGACCTCAAGCGATCCTCCTGCCTCAGCCTCCCCAGAGTGCTAGGTTTATAGGCATGAGCCACCATGCCCAGCCTGCTTCTTGAGTTTTAAAATAAATTATTTTTCATGGCTGAAGGAAACATTATAACCTTATCTGATGAGATTCTAAAACATGCATAGAGATAATACTTGAGACAGTTATATAATAAACAAGGAGAGGAAACAGATTGTAAAGGGAGATAAGAATTCTATACTTCAACTGGTAAAATGAACAACCACTAAAAAAGTCTCTATGCTCAAAAACACTGTAGAGTAACAAAAATGAAATTTTTAAAAATGCTCAAATAATCTAAAGGAAGAGAGAAAAAGGCAAAAAAGAAATGAAAAACAGAAACAAAGAAAAAAATGGTAGATATGAGCCTTAATATCATAATTAATAATTTATTAATGACATATATAATTACATATCAATTACATTAAATATAAATGGTCTAAATACATCAATTAAAAGAAGGAGATTGCAGAGTAGATTAAAACTCTAAGCTATAGCTTTTGATTTTAAGTGAGGGAAAAAGGGGGGAAAAAAACCCCAATACAAATGGCCAATAAGCATATCATTAGTCATCAGGGAAATGCAAATCAAAACCATAACAAAGCATGGCATGGTGGCACATGTACCTGTAGTTCCAGCTACATGGGAGGCTGAGTTGTGAGGACTGCTTGAGCCCAGGAGCCCAAGGCTGCAGTGTGCTAAGATTGCAACTGTGGATAGCTACAGCACTCCAGCCTGGGCAACACAGCCAATACCCCATCTCTTAAAAAAAACAAAAAAAGTAACAAAAAATAAAAAAACCACAATGAGATATACTTCACATCTACTAGGATCGCTAAAATTTAAAAAAGGAATGTAAAATATGGGTGTTGGCAATAGGGGTATGAATGTTTCTAGCAGAACTATTCACAATAGCTAAAAGGTAGAAAGAACTCTGGCCGGGCACGGTGGCTCACGCCTGTAATCCTAGCACTCTGGGAGGCCGAGGCGGGCGGATTGCTCGAGGTCAGGAGTTCGAGACCAGCCTGAGCAAGAGCGAGACTCCATCTCTACTATAAATAGAAAGAAATTAATTGGCCAACTAATATATATAGAAAAAACTAGCCGGGCATGGTGGCGCATGCCTGTAGTCCCAGCTACTTGGGAGGCTGAGGCAGGAGGATCCCTTGAGCCCAGGAGTTTGAGGTTGCTGTGAGCGAGGCTGATGCCACGGCACTCACTCTAGCCTGGGCAACAAAGCGAGACTCTGTCTCAAAAAAAAAAAAAGGTAGAAAGAACTCAAATACCCATCAAAATATGAATGGATAAACAAAATGTGGTATTATCCATTCAATGGAATATTATCTAGCCATAAAAAGGAATGAAATACTGATATATGCTACAATGTGAATGACACTCAAATGCATGATGCCAAGTGACAGAAGCCAGACACAAAATATCATACACTATACAATTCCACTTACATGAAATATACAGATAGGTAACGCCATAGAGAAAGAAAATAGATTAGTGGTTGTCTGGGACTGAGAGAAGGGGAATATAGGAATGACTGCTTAATCAGTATAGGATTTTGTTTTGTAACTTAACAAAAGTAATGTCCACACAACATTGTCAACATACTAAATGCCACTGAACTATACATTTTTAAATGGCTAAATTTATGTTATTTAACCTAAAAATACTGCAAGTTGCCATGCTCTCCTGTTCAAGGCTCCCTAACCTCCAAGTGTGCGGCCTCCAAGCATGCCATTTACCCCACAGCATCTGTAAGTACAATAGTTACCAGCTAAGATGATAGAGAAAACAAGCAATACCAAAACAAACAAACAAACAAACAAACAAACAAACAAACCCTAAAGACTAATATCTTTCATGTTCGTAGATGCAAAAATCCTTAACAAAAATTAGGAATGGAATTAAGCAATCTACATCATTCTACACCATGACCAAGTGGAGTGTATTCCAGGGATGTAAAGATAGTTCAATATTTGAAAACTGACCAGCATAATCCATCATATTAACAGGTTAATTAAAGAAAAATCATGTTCATAGTAAGTGATGCAGAAAAAGCATTTGACAAAATTCAACACCTATCAATGATAAATAAAAAAAAACCTTAGAAATATAGAAGTAGAGGAAAACTTCTAACTTGGTAAAGAACATCGATAAAAAACCTATAGCTAATATTACACTTAATGGTGAAAGACTGAATCTTTCTCCCTAAGACTGAGAAGCTAGTATGTACTTCCCACCGCTCTTCTTCAACATAATGTTACATGTTCTAGCCAGTGTAGTAAGGCAAGAAAAGGAAATAAAAAGTATAAATATCAGAAAGGTAGAATTAAAACTGCTCCTATCTGCAGATGCCATGAATGTCAGCATTAAAAAATTCCCAAAAAATCTATTTAAAAAAATACTCCTAGAACTAATAAGTTTAACAATGTCACAAAAAATAAACATATAAAAGTCGATTGTATTTCTATATATTCACAATGAATACATAACACACCAAAATTTAAAATACCATACCATTTGCAATCACTCAGAAAATGAAATTATTTATCATTATTCTATATATAATGGGTTAGACATCAATATAGGTTCCCTCTGGATATTGCCAAAATGGTATTGTAAATGACAGCAAAATATTTTAGGATTTAAAAAATTAGCTGTTACATACAGCCAACAAAGATGCTCACAACTATTTTGGTAAATCACACAATTATGAGATTATTGATTTGAATGTTTTATATCAATCCCATCTATTTCAAGGTACAGTAGTTTTTAAAATGAACAAACAAGGTTTCAAAAGCTACTGCCATTCAAAGCCACACTGTATTATAAGAAAATGTAAATCTGAGATAGGCTTATGAATAAGTTTTCTAAGTCCATTTTACCTCTTTGAAGATAAATCACTGATCATCTTAGCTGGTCTTGTGTTCTACTTTTTTAGCATCATACAACTCTACACAGACATTCAGTGTCATTCTTAATGTTTTATTGTTGGTATCAAAGGAAAGACAATGATTCTCTGCTTATCATGTTTATAATCTAATTTATTTTTAGAAAGATAAAGTTATAGAAATTTGATAAAGAGGTATTTCTTAGGAAAAGAATATCTTAAAATTAACAAAATAGTGGTAATAAATTATGCTCAAATTTAAGATTTCTACATGTACTTCATATAACTAAAGTATTAACATGGCATTTTAAATAGTCCTTTTTATAAAAGACCCTTTATCATAGTTTCTCTTTTCCTTCACTTATTTTTACCTAAAATTGCAGTTCTGGAGAAGCTTGACCATTCTAGCTAAAGTAGTATCACCTTCTTTCTACCCCTCCACTTTCTCAGATCATGTGATACCTCTAAAACATGCAAAAAGCTGCCATTTAACTCAAGAGTAAAAACCAAAGACCTTACAACAATCAATAATGCCCTACTGATCAGGCAACAAGTCCCTTCCATGCCTTTACTTCTCTAACTCACTTCCTTCCATTCTACCTGCTTGCTTATTCTACTACAAGCCATGCTGTCCTCTGTGTTTTACTTAAACACATGCAGCACATTCTGACTTTAGGGCCTTTGCACAGCCTGGTCATTCCGCCTGGAACACGCATTCTCTAGATAACTGCACGACTAAGCCCCTTACCATCTTCAAGTTTTTATTAACATGTTCCCTTCTCAATCAGCCCTAAACCCAGACCACAGTACTTATACTGATAAAACTCCTCATGTCACACATCTGACTCATTCTCCTTATTCTACTCTATTGTTAACCACTTATCACCTTCTAAAATACTGTATCATTTACATAGTTATACCTCATATACTTATTGGCTTTGTCTGTTATCTGTCCTCCACCCAGGCAAGGGCAAGGATTTTTGTATGTTTTGTTTAGTATTGCATCCCAAGAGCCTAAAACAACACCTGGTAGGGGCTTAATAAACATTAGCTGTACAAATGTAATAAATGAATGAAGGAATACAATAGGCATATCAACAATTGTCAATTTTAATTTTAATTAATCTTGGCAATACAATGAAAAATGTTCTGTAACAAAGAAAACAAATTTTCACAAGCCTTGATGCCTGTATACATGCAGTTCCCTTGTCTATAGTGTCCTTCTTCCTCCCTCCTAACACCTATTCCCCTAAATTGCTCTTCTAGGCAAATTCCAACTCAGTATCCCCCCAAATTAATAGATCTTACAAAAAAGTAATCCTTGTTCACTTAAGTCCAGGTTAGTTGTCCCTCCTACGTACTCTCCAGGTACCTCTGTTTATTTTTCCTCATAGCCTTTTCACTTATATTATAATAACTATTTGTTAATCTGTTTACCAGATCAAAATGTGAGTTCCTTGAGAGCAGAACTGACTTATTTCTGCTTATTTGTCTTTCCCTCACTGGCATATAACTCACATCACACAGCACAGACAGGTACTCAAATGTTTTCTGTGTGAATAAACCATTTTTAAAAATCTACTAAACTGAATTTATAGTAAATTGCAGAAATTTACCTGTTACTTGTTTCCTTAGTTTTTCAATTTCTTCTTTTAAGTTTTTTATTTCTAAATCTTTGCTTGCTGTTAGTGGACCATCAACAGTTGAATACTGCAGAGCTTGGACAGTCTGTGTTGATTCTTAAAAAAAGAATAAAAAATTTTTTACAACTAATAACAATATATTTTTGGTTGAGAAATTCTTATATAATTCTTATGTAATGTTACATCTACCAATTGAACAAAAGCATGTAAATACATTAAGTTGTAAAATTCCATTATGCATGTCTTTAAAATTATAACATATATAGAAAAGAATCTACCTTCTAATATGTGAGATTTTGGGTTTTAAATACTGTTGGTATAGTTTGCCAGTGATTCAACTATTTGGTATAGTTTGCCAGTGATTCAACTATGCTAGCACCCTTTGGTGTTAGCATCTCTGTACATGTGATAACTCAAAAACATTATGTCAGTCAGATGATGTATGAAGAACTGAATCTGGTGTATAAAGGGGGTTTTAAACATGTAAATATATATGTAGAAGTGCTAGCCTTCCAAATTTTATGTTTGAAAGTTGAGTCCCATCCATAGATAACACTGACTCATCAATTTAGTTAAAATAGAGATTATTAATTTATCTTGCAGTTTGAATCAGAAGATGCAAGGTATCAAAGAAACATTAACTTTATTGATGTTTATTCCCAGATATTATCAAAAGATAAGGAAAAAAGAAAACTTGAAAACTATTTTGTATCAGAAATGAAACCACCATTGTTCTAAAACAGGTATTCTGCTATTTATGGAGGGGTTCCCAAATAGTAATTCTTTGTTAGTTTAAATCATTACTGATTGCTCAGTGTGTGTGTTTGTATCATAATCACAATAAAAATTATAAGACATTTGGAAAAGCAGGAAAGCATGACGAATAGTCAAAAGAAAAAACAGAAATAAAGTAGACTCACAGACAATCTAGGTGTTAAAACTGGCAGACAAGGAGCTTAAAATAATTATTATTAAAATGTTGAAGACAATAGAGGAAAAGATAGACAAAAAAATGGGGAAATTTCAATGGAGAATTGAAAACTATAAGAGAACCAAATGGATATTCTTGAACTAAAAGAGACACTATCTGAAATTAAAACTCATTGGATAAACTTAACAGCAGAATGGATAGAACAAGACAGAACTAGTAACCATGAATGAAGGTCAACAGAAAATATCAAAATGAAGCACAAGGAACAAAAGAATAGAAGGAATAGAACAAAGCATAAAGGAAATATGGGACATGATCTAACATATATACAATTAGAGTCCCAGAAGGAGAGAAGAAAATGAACAAAGAAATATCTACACAGATTATGGCTTAGAATTTTCCAAAATTGATAAAAGTCGTTAATCAAGACTGTAGAAGCACAGTGAATCCCAAACAGGATTTTATATTAATACAAAGAAAGCTACACCTATGTACATCATATAAAACTATTTGAAACTGAATTTAAGGACAAGTTCTTAAAAGCAATCAGAGGAGAAAAAAGATACATTATATTCAAGAGATGAAGATTAACAGCTGGCTTCTCAATGAAGATAATGGAAGTTAAAAAACAATAGAATAATAACCGTAGAACATTGAAAGAAAAATCTGCCAAGCTACAATTCTAACCCAGCAAAAGTATCCTTTCAAAAAGGAAGGAAAAAAAAATTAAGACATTTTCAGACAAACAAAATCTTAGAGAATTTGTCACAATACATTCACGTTACAAGAAATACTAAAGGAAGTTTTTCAGGCTGATGAAAAGTGATTCCAGATAGAAACATGGATCACTAGAAGAAATAAAAAGCACAAAAAGGGTAAATAAAAAGATATTTAAAAATTAATGAGTAATAAATATGTGAAGCAACAATAAAGAAATGTATTAAAAGATTTATAAACTAGATTAAGGTAAAATATACAATAACAATCATAGAAGGAACTGTTTGAAAAGTTTTTACATTGTTTGTGAAGTGAAAACATACAAATTATTAAGAAAAAGATCTGGCCGGGTGCAGTGGCTCACGCCTGTAATCCTAGCACTCTGGGAGGCTGAGGTGGGCGGATTGTTCAAGGTCAGGAGTTCGAAACCAGCTTGAGCAAGAGCGAGACTCCATCTCTACTATAAATAGAAAGAAATTAATTGGCCAACTAATATATATACAAAAAATTGGCCAGGCATGGTGGCGCATGTCTGTAGTCCCAGCTACTCAGGAGGCTGAGGCAGGATGATCGCTTGAGCCCAGGAGTTTGAGGTTGCTGTGAGCTAGGCTGACGCCACGGCACTCACTCTAGCCTGGGCAACAAAGCGAGACTCTGTCTCAAAAAAAAAGAAAAAGATCTAACAGAAAAATGGACAAGAACCTTAAACCAGAACTTCACAAGCTTGGATAACCAAATTGATAGTAAATATGAAAAGATACTCAATCTCATTATTCACCAGGGAAAGGCAAATTAAATTCACAGTAAGATACCACTATATATCTATGGAAATGAATACAAGTAAAAATTTAAAAAGCTGACAATATCAAGTTCTGGTGGAGAGCTGAAGAAAGTGGAAGTCATACATTATTAGTAGAACGAATACACTGATACAGTCAACTTGGAAAACTCTTTGACAATATCTTCTAAATATGAAAATACCCTATAACCCACAAATTATACTCCTTGATATATATCCATGAGCAATAAGTATACATAACTACCAAAAGGAATATATAAGAATATTCATAGTTGTACTCATGATAATATCTGGAAATAATCCAAATATTCACTGATGACAGATTGGATAAATCAATTTTTAGCATTTGTATACAATGAAATACTAAACAATACTATAAAAAAAGAAATATTGACATATATATAAAACATGGATAAATCTCAAAATAACATGTTGAGTTAAAGAAGCCAGACACAAAAGAGAACATAGTATATGATACTCTTCATATGAAATTCAAGAACAGGTAATCAATCAACTAATGGGGAAAGAAATTAGGACAGTGTCTTCTTTAGGGTGGTAGGTTATGAACTGAAAAGGGGCATGAAAGGACCTCATGCTATGCTGGAAATATTCTATACATTGATATGGGTGGAGGTTATGTGAGTATATATACATATAAGCAATTATTGGGCTTACAGTTAAAAATAGAATGCTTGCACACTTTAGGTATATTGCCATATTAATAAAACAAGTAAAAAAACTAAATTGGGCCAGAAGGGAAAGTAATTCACATGCAGAGATCTTAGCAATTTATTGAAAAAGGAAAATAGTCTGTTCTATTGATGTCTATAGAGCCTTTTTCTCTATTGGGCTTCTAAAAGTAAGTAAGCAAAATTTTATGACTGTGAAACTTTGATTTTTTTCTCTTGTAGGAGTTACAAGTTCTTGATTACTTATTCATACATATTTCTTCATTCACAAAATATGTAAGTAAAATAAATGTTATATCCTTTATGTTGGAGAAAATAAAGCATAAAAGAGAGATAGTGAGTGCTGGGGATAGATATAACGCTAAATTATAAATAAGATGGTTGGGAAAGGCTTCAATGAAGGCTTCATTAAGGTAGAGAGGTAAAGGAATACATCATGTAAATATCAAAGGAAGAACATTTAAGGTAGGGCAACAGTTAATGCAAAGGCCCTGAGGTAGGGATCTGCCTGGCTTGTGAAAAGAACAGCAAGGAGCCTAGGGTGGCCAAAACAGATGGAACAAACGAGAGAGTAATCAGAATGGTAAGAAGAAGTCAGATCATATGTCACCCTAAGCACTGAAATTAGTCTGGCTGTTAATGTGACATGGAAAGCTACTGGGAGTGAAGTAAGATGGGAGTACTGGGAGTGAAGTAAGAACACGGTGAAGTAAGATGATCTAAATTGTTTTAATAGGATCATTTGGCTGATATGTTGAAAACAAAGGAAGGAAAACAGGGGTGGAAGAGATATGGGGTGGAAGGACAGCAGAAGACATAAAGTAAAGAAACAAGTTAGTAAGTTATTGCAATAATACAGGTGAGAGTGCATGGTGGTTTGAAACAGGGTAGGAGCCCCACAGTGAGTGATAATCAGATTCAGGATCTCTTGGGAGAGCAGAGCTAACATGATTTGCTGATGGATCTGATGTGGGGTATGAGAGAATGAGAGGGTTTAAGGTATTTATTCCCACTCTTTTATACACATACATATGTACCCATAGGAAACAATGCTATTTTTTGTTGTTTGCTATTGTGTGATTTTACATAAATGTATTATACTGTGTTTTGCATATATTTCTACAACTTGATATTTCACCACTTAATAAAAAAATTTCTTCTAAGACAAAACAACCACTTATAATAAACAATTTATAACACTGTCAGTCTACTTTGAAAATGGAAATTATCTTTAAAATATATTTACCTTGCAGCTTTCTGCTAAGTTCAAGTTTTTCTTGTTCAAGGCGCTTAATTCTTCTTTCATAAGCTTCAGTTGCTAAGTTGTTGTCTAGAGTCCTCTGAACATTAGCGTCGAGATCCAGTGAGGTGGGACCCGCTGTAACTCTTAAACAACTCCTATCAGACAGAACACTGAAGAAAGGAAAAAATATGTAGGTTAATACAGTAATAAAAAATTCAAAGAAAAAGGACCTTTTAAAATTGTTCATTTAAAACACGGATTTGAATATCTAGTTTAAAAATTTTTTTTTGCAAAATCACCAAAAACGACTTTTTATAAGCATTTTTTAAAATGAAAACATAAATCTCTCCAAATTATCTTTGGTTATTCTGGATCTTTTGTAGTTCCACATAAATTCTAGGATTATTTCTTTCTATTTCTGTGAAGAATGCCATTGATATTTTTGTTCTAGAGTCCTATTTAAGTCCAGTGTTTCTTTATTCATTTTCTGCTTCTATGATCTGTCCAGTACTGTTAGAGGAGTGTTGAAGTCCCTGACTATTAAGATGCTGCTGTTATTTCTTTGCTTAGGTCTAAAAATTTTTTGCTTTATGAAGCTGGGAACTCCTGTGTTAGATGCATACATATTTAGGACTATTATGGCTTCTTGTTGAATTGCTCCCTTTAGCGTTATATAATGACCATCTTCTATGTCTTCATTTACCATTGTTAAAAGTCTATTTCATCCGATATGAGAATGGCTATACTTGCTGGTTTTTTATTTCCATTTTTGTGGAATATTTTTTTCCATCTCTTCACCTTGAATCTGTATGAGTCCTTTTAGGTTGGATGTGTTTCCTGGAGACAGCAGATAATTGGGTTGTATTTTTTCATCCATTCAGCCAGTCTATGTTGTTTAACATTCAGACTGTTCATGTGTTAGTATTGATATGTGGGATGCTGTTCTATTCATCATGTTGGCTGATACCTTATCATTTTGTTTTCCTTCTTGTGCTATACTATCTTACAAGAGCTGTGAGCTATCACTTCTGGGTGTTTTATCATTGGTTGGTATCTATTGTGCTGTTGCATGTATAATGAACTTTTTTGAGCATTTCCTGTAGGATGGGTCTAAGAGTGACAAATTCCCTTTGTGTTTCCTTGTCTGGGAAGAGACTTTATTTCTCCTTCATTTACGAAACTTAGTTTAGCAGGATACAAAATTCTTGAGTGGCAGTTATTCTGTTTAAGGAGACTAAAGATAAGATCCCATTTTCTTATGCCTTGTAAGGTCATTGGTATTTTGATGGGGATGCATTGAAAAAGCAATCTACAGATTGCTTTGGGTAGTATGGATATTTTAACAATATTGATTCTTTCAATCCATGAGCATCTTTCCATTTTTTTTCCTGTCCTCTTCAACTTCTTTCATCAATGTTTTATAGTTTCATTATAGAGATCTTTCACTTCTGTGGTTATTACTAGGTTTTTGTTTTATTTGTAACTATTATAAATGTGACTACTGTCTTGGTTTCTTTTTCAGATTTTTTACTATTGGCCTATAGAAATACTACTGATTTTGTATCCTGAAACTTCACTGAATTTGTTTGTAAGTTCTAATAGTTTTGGGGTGGAATCTTTAGGTTTCTTGAGATTTAAAATCATATCATCTGTAAATAAGGATAAACTGACTTCTTCCCTTCTAATTTGGAAGTCCTTTATTTCTTTCTCTTTCCTGATTGCTCTAGCTAGAACTTCCAGTACTGTGTTGAATAATAGTGGTAAAAGTGAGCATACTTGTCTTGTTCCATCCCCCAAATTCTCTTGATTTAAGAAAAAAAGAACCACAAATTATAAAATGAAGTTTTCTGAAGGATTATTGGTAGTTTAAAACAATTTGACCACTTAAGTGAAATAGTAGTCAAAAACACCAACCATGGTCCTCTTTGCCAGAATTTGAAATTCAAAACTGAGGTCCTTTATAAAATTCAATACACTCAGTGAATTTAAGTGGCTAAAAAAAAAATCAATACAATTTAATTAAAAACATTAAAGGTGCTGAGGTGTCAGCAGTGAATAAAATGGACAAAAATCCTTGCCCATAAAGGGCTTATATTCCAGTGATGGAGAGAGAAATAAACAAAATAATTAAATATTTAGTACATTAGAAAATATTAAGTGCTAAGGAGAAAAACATGAAGCAGAAAAGGGGGGATATAGTATTTAGGGGGAGGAGATAAAAATTTAGATAAAGTGGTCAGGAAAGCTGTCACTGTGAAAGTAACTCTGAGAAAAAAAACAATTAACCCTTTGCACTCGCTTGCTCTTTTCTTGATTTCTTTATTCTACTCAGGATTTAATTTTTTAAATACCCCAGATTTTACAAAGCGCAACAGTAGAATAAAACACTGGAGTTTCTTTTCATACAAACTTATTTATTTGGATTTTTTATATTTCAAATTATTGATACATTCAAAGAGTAATTTTAATCTCTATAATTTTTCATGGTGTGATATTTTTTGAAACATTCACCCACATGAAGACCTGGTTTACATTCACATGTTTTGCAAATACAAATCGTCTCTCTTCTTTCTCCTTTGATTTTTCTGTTAGAACAAACAACACAATCTTTGTGTTTTTTGTTAGGGTGAGGTGTGATTATATAGAGCTTTCCATCTAAATGTTGCTCTAAGTTAGTGGATAATAATTTACCCCTGGAAGTTAGTGGACCATCTCTGCATTTACATTTTACTTGTCCTTTCATGCTAATGAAAACAAGAAAAGATACTGGAAAAATAGACAAAAATCCCCCTTCCCCCAGCGGTGAAACTACATGTCGAGTGTGGCTCGACATACGAGCTGCTACTGAAGCTAACCAACTTGAGTCACACTTGACATCCAAGTGCAAAGGGTTATGGGTGAGGGGACCAGCCAAGGGAATGCCAAAACGAAGGACATTCCAGAAGATGGAAGAGAGGTAAAGAAGTCCTGAGATAAGACTGTATCTGGCAGGTTTATAAGCCAAAAAGGAGGCCTGTGTGGATGGAGTGGAGTAAGCAAGGAGAAGAATAGTAGAAAATAAACCCAGAAAGATAAAAGTGAGCCAGTCATGTAGGGTCTTGTAAGAATTTTGATTAGGAGTTAAGATACAAAGCCTCTGAAGTTGGGGGTTAAGGAGTATTGATCCTGAACAGAGGAGTGACATATCTTTTCTGCTTTATTTTTTAATCAGATCACTTGTACGGGTTCTGAGAAATAAAGGAAATGAAGCTATGAACAGATTAAGTAGGCGGTTAAGACATTTTAAGTAGAAGAGAGGAGAGGTCTCAGCTGGAGATACATATTTAGGAGTTACCAGCAAATATCTGGGAGAACATCAGATAGTGTAAATGAAAAAGAGATGTCTAAAGACTGCCATAGCACACCCTGATATTCAAAAGTTAGGGAGATTAGGAGGAATCATGCATGGAGACTGAGAAGGAATGGCCAGAAAGATAAGAGGAAAATCAGGTAAGTGCCCTGGAAGCTGAGAGAAGAAAGTGTTTAATGATGTGGAACTGTGACAAATCAGATGAGACCAGGCAAGTAAGTAATACTAGGGCTGAGAAGTGATCATTAGGTTTAATAACATGGAGGTCAATGGCGACACTGATAAAAACAGTTTTTATGAAGTGATGGGGGCACAAACCTAAATGGAATGAATTTTAAATAGAATAATATGAAATAATGGCCAAAATATAATCAACAGTTGAAGTAATTTTGCTATAATGTACAGCAGGGAAATGGTTACTAACAGGTAAAGGAAGTGAGGTCCAGATTGATTTTAAATTTTGCTTTAAGATAGGAAAAAGAATTGCAGATTTATAAGCTGATGGAAAAGATCTGATGAAACAGATGATGCAGAAAGGGAATGCATGATGTAAAAGTGAGCAATAGACTGGACTAGCTAGCAGGGTCTGGAAGAGGCTGGCCTTAGCTAGGAGCTTGCACAGTTCATCCATAAAAAGAAGAGATCACATAGGTCCAGAGGTATGTAGGTGATAAATGTGGTGATGGAAGCTTATGGAAATTGTCTGCTGTTTGCTTCAATCCTCTTGGTAAAAGAGGAAGCAAGAACACCAGCTTAGAGTGAGGACAAAACAGGTATCACAGGAAAGTAGAAAGTATGAAATAGTTATCTAGAGGAGTGGAAAAGAGAATATACTAGGGCTGCAGTCCCCAAGCCCCGGGCTGTGGACCCAGTACTGGTCCGTGCCCTATTAGGAACCAGGCCACATGGTGGGAGGTGAGCAGTGAATGAGCCAGCAAAGCTTCATCAGTATTTGCAGCCGCTCCCCATCATCCACATCACCGCCTCAGCTCTGCCTCCTGTCAGATCAGCGGCAACATTAGATTCTCATGGAAGTGCAAACCCTACTATAAACCGCACATGTGAGGGAACTAGGTTGTGCACTCCTCATGGGAATCTAAAGCCTGATGGTTTAAGGTGGAGCGGAGCTGCAAATACAGATTATCATTAGCAGAGAGGTTTGACTACACAGAGACCATAACAAATCAATTGCTTACTGACTCATATCAAAACCCTATGAGTGAGTGGCAAGTGACAATTAAGCTGCATCTGCTGGTAGGCTTTATAGTGGCAACTGAGATGAGGTACTTTAATTGTACAGCTGCATCTGATGGCAGGCTAAGTCAGAATCCAACACTTATTTTAGCTCATGTGTGGCCTGTCCTTTACATTATTTACCACTGCTATCCACACCTCTTACTTGCACTGCACACTTGTCTCAGTCACACTTTTTGTAAGCCCACAAGCTAACCCTAGCAAAAATGAATAAAAAATAAATGTTGCCAGAGAGCTTCTTTGGAAAGAGGGAATGACCCAAAGATGAGACATCAGAAGACTCTCTAACACTGCCAACAAAATGAAAGCTGCATTTAAAAGAAAATACTGGCCAGATGCAGTGGCTCGTGCCTGTAATCCTAGCAACCTGGGAAGCTGAGGCAGGAGGATCACTTGAACTCAGGAGTTTGAGATCAGCCTGAGCAAGAGCAAAAGCCTGTCTCTACTAAAAATAGAAAAATTAGCTGGGTATTGTGGCACATGCCTATAGTCCCAGCTACTTGGGAGGCTGAGGCAAGAGGATCACCTGAGCCCAGGAGTTTGAGGTTGCAGTGAGCTATGATACCACTGCACTCTACCAAGGGCAACAGAGCAAGATTTTGTCTAAAAACAAAACCAAACCAAACAAAAAAAAGAGTCCTACTTAAATTACATGTTCATTGCAACAGGTGATTCACACTCTCCAAGGCTGCTTCATGTAATATGGTAATATGTGGTAACCAACCAGCTAATTAACAAAGCCATGAAACCTTCAAAACTGCTTCACCACATGGAGACCAAGGACCCTACATTAAAAGACAAGCCTCTGGAGTCTTTCAAAGGAAAAAAATGTGAACACGAAGAACAGAAGCAATTATTGAAGGCCACCACTTCATCAAATGTATCTGCACTGAGAGCATCATTCTTAATAGCTAACCGCATTGCTAAAGCTAAGAAGCCCTTCAATATTGGTGAAGAGTTGATCCTGCCCGCTGCTAAAGACATTTGTCATGAACTTTTAGGAGAGGTTGAAGTTCAAAAGGTAGCACGTGTTCCTCTGTCAGCTAGCACCATAACTACACAAATTGATGAAATAGCAGAGGATACTGACCCACAACTGTTAGAGAGGATTAATGAGTCACTGTGGTACACAATCCAGATTGGCACATCTACCAATGTTGCAAACAAGGCAACAATGCTTGTGTTTGTACAATATATTTTTCAGGAGGATATGCATGAGGATATGTTACGTGCACTTTTGTAGCCAACCAACACCACAGCTAAGGAACTATTCAAGTCTTTGAATGATTACATTATCAGGAAAACTGAACTGGTCATTTTGTGCTGGTATATGCATGGACAGAGCAGCTGCCATGACTGGACAGCTTTCTGGTTTCACTACTCAGGTCAAGCAGCTCTGAGGAGATGGACGGTGAGCACACATGTCTTCTCTTACACACAGAAGTGAGATGGCTCTCTAAAGGTAGATTTATGGTCAGAGTTTCTGAGTTATGAGAGCTGCTCCAGAGATTGCTTTTAAAAAAACAGTCACCACTGGCAGCACATGTCAGTGACACAGAATGGGTCGCAAAACTTGCTTACTTGTGTGACGTATTTAACCTGCTCAACAAACTCAATCTGTCACTTTAGGGGAGAAGGACAACTGTATTCAAGTCAGCAGATAAAGTGGCCACATTCAAAGCCAAGTAGGAATTATGGAGGCAATGAGTTAATTCCAATGGATTTTTGACAAGTTTCAAACGTTAGCAGAGATTTTGAAAGAGACTGAGCCAGGGCCTTCTTTCTCCCAGCTGATACATATCACCAATCTGAGCTTTCAAAAGAGTTTGAGCATTACTTCCCAACCACAAGACTCCCGAACTGGCAAGGAATGGATCTGCAACCCATCTGTGAATAAGCCAGGTGAATCAACTTTGTTAGTGCTAGAAGACAATCAACTGCGTGAGATCGCAAATGACAGTGGCCTTAAAAATACGTTTGAGACAACTTCAAATTTCCATATGTTCTGGATTAAAATCAAGGAGGAATATCCCGAGATTGCCACAAAAGCACTGAAAAGCCTGCTTCCATTTCCAACATCCTGTCTTTATGAAGCAAGGTTTTCTGCAATGACAGCAACCAAAATGAGATAATGGAGTAGAGTGAACATAAACAACACACTTTGGGTGTCACTGTCTCCCATCACCCCCAGATGGGACCATCTAGTTGCAGGAAAACAAGATCAAGGCTCCCACTGATTCTGCATTATGATGAGTTGTATAATTATTTCATTATATATTACAATGTAATAATAATAGAAACAAAGTACACAATAAATATAATGTGCTTGAATCATCCCCAAACCATCCCCCATCCTGCACCTCCAGGGTGCATGGAAAAACTGTCTTCTACGAAACCAGTCCCTTGTGTCAAAAAGGTTGGGGACTGCTGCACTAGTATAATACAGTATATTTGCCAGACACCAATAAGGGAGGGATACTTAGGGTTGGTAATCATGAATTTAAGGTAAAAACCAGTAAGAATGGTCAGATATTTTTCCCTAGTCGCTTCGAACTGTACTGGTATAGGAAGAAAATTAAATTTTTTTTTTTTTTTTTTTTTTTTGAGACAGAGTCTTACTTTGTTGTCCAGGCTAGAGTGAGTGCCGTGGCGTCAGCCTAGCTCACAGCAACCTCAAACTCCTGGGCTCGAGTGATCCTTCTGCCTCAGCCTCCCGAGTAGCTGGGACTACAGGCATGCGCCACTATGCCCGGCTAATTTTTTTTTTATATATATATATCAGTTGGCCAATTAATTTCTTTCTGTTTATAGTAGAGACGGGGTCTCGCTCTTGCTCAGGCTGGTTTTGAACTCCTGACCTTGAGCAATCCGCCCGCCTCGGCCTCCCAAGAGCTAGGATTACAGGCGTGAGCCACAGCGCCCGGCCGAAAATTAAATTTTAATAATGAATGTTCACTTAGAGCAATACAGGAAAAGGAAAGAAAGCCAATGAAACTGAGGCGGCACACAAATAGTGATGATAATCATTCTCTATGAAATTTAAATTGAGAAGGAGGAAAGAAAGGATATAAGTAGAGAGAGGGTCAACGATAGGAAGATAGGACTAATGAGCTGAATGTTCTTGTGCTTGACACCCAGAGAAAATTTATTCAATAGGAAGAGACTGTCCTAATTCTTACCCCATTGCTAAGGGTTAGATTCTGAACTCTCTCTTTGTCCCATTCTTTCCCCTCCAAAATGAGTTAAAATTCTTGCATATTTCATTCATTTTGTAAGTCTAACTTTTTCCAGCAGTAGGCTCATTCTATTTTTTAAAAAACTATAATTTACAAAGCTTTCTCATATATTACATTTAAAAAAAAAAAAACTCAATTCACTTTAATTTGCTTTAAATAGTCCAAACTATGTTAACTTCCAAACTTACCAGCTACTAGTATATGTAAAACCAACAAATGGCAGATGGTGGCCAGAAAATGCAGTGTGTGTTGGTGGGGGCATCGTTTCCTAAAGGAGGAAAAAACATCCGGTAAGACACAAATAGCTATAACTTATAGGTTTGGCTATAAGTATTAACTGCCTATAGGAAACATGCAACTGTTCAATTTAGAAATACTGATAAGTTTGGTACAGATGCTTAGTGATATAAACTTTACACTATGTACACTGCTACTCCAAAATTCTAATAAAATGAAAATAAAGATTGATCATCTGATATTGAATTTACAGTCGTTATTCATGTATTCCGTATTTTCAAATTTGTCTAGAAGCTAAAATTTATCTGTAAACCCCAAATTCATACTGTAGCGATTCTACAACCATTCAGACAAGTACAGAGCAGAGAAAAATTTGAGCGACCCTATGCTCACATTCCTAGCTGAGATTGAACAGGAGAGACTCTGCCTTCTCGTTTAATCTTTTATATTAACACTATAAACAAATGTCCTTTACAGGGTCTACTTAGTGCCACATTTTTCTGCCTTTTGCGAGCAATTTCACTATTTAAAAGGGCCCCCAATCATAGTACTCTCTAGTGTTTCTAAGTGCAAGAAGGCTGTCATGTGCCTTCACAGAGAAAATAACATGTATTAGAAAAATTTCATTTAGGGATGAGTTACAGTGCTGCTGGTGGTGAGTTTGATATTAATGAATCAACAGTATATATTACATAGGTGTCTTTAAACAGAAACACACATAAAACAAGATTATGTATTGATCTGATGGTAAAAATGTGACCAGAGGCTGACAGGAACTTAATCCTGTATCTCTCTGGAGCAGTGGTTCAATATTAGCTAATACACTATTCACAGCAACTTTATAGAACATAACTATAATAATTAGAATCAACTATACTATGTATTTAATTTGCAATGACTCACTAATAAAGAAAGTTCACTTAATTCTTTCTTGTGAAGGTCAGAGAAGAAAGTATAAGAGTATTTCTTATCTGCCTTGATTATGGTACTGAACAGTGAAAAGTAACATATAATTAATATAAAAATTTTAGTACAGAATTAAAACCATAGGAAATAAAATAATTGAATAAAAATATAAGTTCAAATAATACCTAAAAATGATACAAGCCATATATGACAGACCCACAGCCAACATCATACTGAATGGGGAAAAATTGAAAGCATTCCCACTTAGAACTGGAACCAGACAAGGCTGGCAACACCCTATCTCCACTTCTATTCAACATAGTGCTGGAAGTCCTGGCTACAGCAATCAGACAGGAAAGTGGAATTAAAGGTATCCAAATAGGGGCAGAAGAGATCAAACTTTCACTGTTTGCTGATGATATGATATTATATTTAGAAAACCCCCAAAGATTCACCAAGAAATCCTGGAACTGATAGATGAATTTAGTAAAGTCTCAGGATACAAAATCAATACACAGAAATCAGAGGCATTCATATACACCAACAACAATAAAATTGAGAACCAAATCAAAGACTCAATTCGCTTCACAATGGCAACAAAGAAATTAAAGTACCTAGGAATATACTTAACCAAGGACGTAAAAGACTCTACAGGGAGAACTATGAAACACTGAGGAAGGAAATAGCAGAGGATGTAAACAGATGGAAATCCATACCATGCTCGTGGATCGGCAGACTCAACATCATTAAAATGTCTATATTACCCAAACTGATCTACAGATTCAATGCAATTCCTATTAAAATCCCATCAACATTCTTCACAGATATAGAAAAAATAATTTTAGGCTTCGTATGGAACCAAAGAAGACCCCAAATATCAAAGGCAATTCTAGGCAACAAAAACAAAAATGGGAGGTATTAATATGCCAGATATCAAACTACACTACAAAGCTGCAGAAATTAAATCAATCTGGTATTGGCACAAAAATAGGAATATTGACCAGTGGAACAGATGTGAGAATCCTGATATAAAACCATCCTCATATAGCCATCTAATCTTTGACAAAGCAGACAAAAACATACGCTGGGGAAAAGAATCCCTTTTTCAATAAATGGTGCTGGGAAAACTGGATAGCCACTTGTAGAAGGCTAAAACAGGACCCACACCTTTCACCTCTCACAAGTGGATAACAGACTTAACCAACTCACGCTGGATAACACACTTAAACCTAAGGTATGAAACTATTAGAATTCTAGAGGAAAATGTTGGAAACACTCCTAGACATCGGCCTAGGCAAAGAGTTTATGGAGAAGTCCCCAAAGGCAATCACAGTAGCAACAAAAATAAATAAATGGGACATGATGAAATAAAAAGCTTTGACAGCAAAGAAACAGTCATGAAAGTAACAGACAACCTACAGAATGGGAAGAAATTTTTGCATCCTACGCATCTGATAAGGGGCTGATACTAGAATATACTTAGAACTCACAAAATCAGCAAGAAAAATCAAATAACCCTATTAAAAGGTGGGCAAGGACTTGAACAGAAACTTTTCTAAAGAAGACAGAAGAATGGCCAACAAACATGAAAAAATGTTCAACATCTGTAATCATCAGGGAAATGCAAATCAAAACCACAATGAGATATCACTTAACTCCAGTGAGAATGGCCTTTATCAAAAAGTCTCCAAAACATAAATGCTGGCGTGGATGCGGAGAGAGAGGAACACTCCTACACTGCTGGTGGGACTGCAAACTAGTTCAACCTCTGTGGAAAGCAACATGGAGATACCTTAAAGCGATACAAGTGAATCTACCATTTGATTCAGCAATCCCATTGCTGGGCATCTACCCAAAAGATCCAATGACACTCTACAAAAAGACACCTGACTTGAATGTTATAGCAGCACATTCATAATTGCAAGGCTGTGGAAACAGCCCAAGTGCCCATCCATCCAAGAATGGATTAATAAAATGTGGTATATGTATACTATGGAGTACCATTCAGCTCTAAGAAACAACGGTGATATAGCACATCTTATATTTTCCTGGTTAGAGCTGGAACCCATACTACTAAGTGAAGTATCCCAAGAATGGAAAAACAAGCACCACATATACTCACCAGCAAACTGGTATTAACTGAGCAGCACCTAAGTGGACACATAGGTACTACAGTAATAGGGTATTGGGCAGGAGGGAGGGGGGAGGGAGGTGGGTATATACATACATAATGAGTGAGATGTGCACCATCTGGGGGATGGTCACGCTGGACACTCAGACTTGTGGGGGGAGGGGCGAAAGGGCATTTATTAAAACCTTAAAATCTGTACCCCCAAAATATGCCGGAAAAAAAAACAAAAAAACAAAAAACCAAGAATTATCTATAAGCCTAAGTAAGGGATCATTTCAGGAAGAAACTTTTTTCCTTTTGGTAAACTATGACAAATTCTGTACCTGAAATATTAACAGCTGGAATTTTAGAATCACTGGTCATTTCTGTTCAACTATATCCTGCTAACTAATAAAGTACCAGATGCAGATGATAATTTAAAGCCCTTACAACTCTAAGGTACTAAATAAAGACTAAATACTGTTCAAATGATAATATATATATATATATAAGTTCAAATTAAGAAGGCTTAGAAGACAAAAAACATAAAAAAATTATGTTCTTGTTTTCCTAAATTTTAAGGGAAATAAATGGTGTAGAGCAGAGATTGATACACTGTGCTGGCCAGTTTCAGTACAGCCTACAAGCTAAGAATGGTTGAATATGTGGCTAGTCCACTTGTCTGACATTCACCTCAAGCAGGGATATAACCTCAGGCTAGTAAAGCTGTGGATTTAACATTCCCTATTTAACATTTCCTACCCACGTTTGCTATTTTCAGCAGCAATACCACTGGGCCAGGGTATTTAGCCCTGGAATCTGCCCAATCTGACAACAAAGCTGCTGTTTTATACACAGCCAGCTCCACGCTACTCATACTACTATATGTGATTTTAACTAAAGCTTGGGAGTTTTTTATGAATAAATACTCCTGAATTTATTTCCCTTCAATTGATACATCAAGTCAGAAATGGTTGTTTTTGACAGTGTTGTCCAGTTTCATGGTTAGTTTTAGGGAGAGAGTTTCTAAGCTCTTCACTTTGCAAACATGAAATCTTCTTTTTTAAGCATCTAATTTGTCCTCCTAGGAAACCTAATTGCATAACTTATCTAAGAAGTAACTCTTAGAATTTCAGCTTTGCTCTTAGTCATGAATAACCCAGTTCACCTCAATTAACTCTCTTAATTTCTTGATTTATGATAGAATAAGCACTGAAAGCCATGATAACTAATGACTGATAATTGTATTACCCTAGCAAAATACTTGCAAACCAAAGATTTACTTTATAACCATATTAAAAAGAAACAGAGGAGAAGAACTTCAACGTCATACTTACAGAATTCTTTAAACAATCATCATCCACATCAAAATTCGATGTATCTGTTGGGCTACTAACTTCTGGAATATAAGGTGCTTCACAGTTCTGAATGTTATCCCAGTCAATTCCATTGAAAAATGGGTGCTTCTTAAAATCTTCTATTCCATTTTGACCAAGTCGATGCTCTCTGCTACATATGAGCCTTCGAATAAGATCTTTTGCATTTTCAGACACATCAGTCACTTGGGCTGGAAACTGAAACCTCTCCTAAACAGAGAATAATAGAAGCAAAATATAAATTAGTGTTTAACTTACTAAGTTGATTGACTTATGTATTTTCTTAAAAATCCATTTTCTTTTAACAATATTTAATAAGTGTATGCTGGTTCAAAGTGCTGATACTAAAGGAATACAAGGATGAATGAGAAAATATCATTTTCCTACAGAACTTTAATTCCATATATGACTTAGTCATATATGCAGTATAGAAAGAAGAATAAATAAAATGCTAAAATACCTTAAACTATTATCAGAATGAAGAGGAATTGATTAAAAGTGGAAGAATTTGACTCAATTTTTCAATAGAGCATAATTGATAATGTTCATATAAGTCATATACTAATGATTAACTGATTATAATAAAAATCACTTTTAAAGGATTTAATGTGTATCTGACACCATTCAAAGTACTTTACTCATTTAACTCATTTAATTTAATTTAATCCTTACAATAATCATCTAAGTGGGTACTACTATTATGCTAATTTTACAGAACAAGAAACAAAGGCACAGAGAGAATTTAAGTTAATTCTCTCAACTTCACAAAACTAGTAAATAGCAGAACTGGAATTTGAACTGAAGCTGTCTGACTCCAAAATCGGTGCTGTAAAATACTATGGTTTACTACAATGATTTCTTTCAGGAATGCTATACATGCTACTTACAACCTTGTAGGTATTTCCAATCTTTCTCTGTTTATAACCATTTGAGAAGCACTATCTTTGCAGCCAGGTAGAAGAGCACAGATTCTGTAAAACTGATTTACATAGTATATATTCAAAACAACTAATCATAATTGTGTCACCAGAACAAATGAAAAAGAATAGATTATCATTCCCTTCTATGGGATATTCCTATTCATATTCTAGGTTTTTGTAATTGTCCACAATCTTCTGAGACTGACTAATTAAAACCTTTACTATTATTATTATGAACAATCTATTTCTATTTCACTGACAACTAAATGGATTAAAGTCTTGTAATTTGTTCCTATTGTATATTTGAATTGTTTTCAAGGTTTTATAATCATAAATAATATCTTTGTACATGTATCTTTGTTCTACTGAAAATTTCATAATGTAGATTCCATGAAGTTGCTCATTCAAATTCTAGCCATTTTTTAAGGTTCTAGATGCATACTTGCAAACTTTTAGACAGAAAGGCTACATCAATTTATATTCTTCTCAACAATGTCTTAGAATGCTCATTTCACTGTATTATTTACAGTAGAGAGTATCTTTGCCAATTTGACAACGAAAAAAGCATCTTATTAATTTGCATTTCATTTATCACTTCTAAAGTTGAGAATTTTTTTACATGCATTCTAGGCTATACATATAATATAGTAAGCAATAATATAAAATGTCTGCCTATGACCTTTGTTATTCTATTGGAGATACCATTTAATTCCCTAGTTATTAGCATTTCTAATAAAATATAAGAGAAAGTTAGAATTAATAATTTTATGTATAATTTATGGATTTTGACAATTCTAGTTTGTCATGTCCCCTACTAGCATAGAAATGTGATTGTTCATTACCTTTAGAAAAATATTTCCCTCTTTAAATATCACATTATTTTAATTTATCATACTGTTATTTACATTAATTTGAAAAAAGTAAAATATACTAACTTTGTGATTCATGATTTTTCCGTATGTCTCCACCAGAGATTCTGCATAAAATGGTGTTTCTCCATAGAGCATTTCATACATACAGACCCCCAAAGACCACCAGTCACACTCAGGTCCGTATCTGCCTTTTCCATCTTCCATTGCTTGAAGAATTTCAGGGGAGATATAATCGGGGGTTCCAACAGCCACTGAGGACTGAACCTGAAGAAATTCACATTTTTATTAATCTACTGTAATATATTAGAAATAAAATAATAATTTTAAATTAAAAAGTTACTTAAGATACACAGTGACATTATTTTATAATAACTACATCTTTGTTACTATCCGAATTTAGCCTTCTTGTACATACAAGTTAAATTTTATATAATCTCCACATTACTGATTTTCCAGATTGTATAACACTATAGAACCTTTATTATAGCTGTTATTTATTTAAATGACTATATTTAGGGGAACAATATGAATTAAACCATGATAGCCATTAACAAAAACTGATTATTTGGTTTAGGACATTGTTGTTATTTACATGCCTACCCTGTATATATTTAAAAAATGAAAGCTGTGAAAATTTCATTTGGGGAAATGAAATGGGGAAAGAGAACTCCTGAAATTTAGTCCTATACTTATGAAAAGCCTGGACATTATGTTAAAGCTCCTTAAAGAAACCTAAGAAAATAAATCTCAATAATGTGTAGCAAACTACCTATTAATAAAAAAAATTATAGAAGAATAATAGATATACCCTTCAAAAAATAGTCCCAATAGAGAAAAAAGGTGAGCATATTATTATTATAGCTGGTTAGATGTCAATTAGAAGACAGGTAATTTTAAAAATCCTGGATACATGTAAGGTACTCTAAAATAAAAGAATATTGGCCCTTTATATGTTTTAAAAGAATACATTTTTTTTTGAGACAGAGTCTCGCTTGTTGCCCAGGCTAGAGTGAGTGCCGTGGCGTCAGCCTAGCTCACAGCAACCTCAAACTCCTGGGCTCAAGCAATCCGTCTGCCTCAGCTTCCCGAGTAGCTCGGACTACAGGCATGCGCCACCATGCCCGGCTAATTTTATATATATATACATTAGTTGGCCAATTAATTTCTTTCTATTTATAGTAGAGACAGGGTCTTGCTCTTGCTCAGGCTGGTTTTGAACTCCTGACCTTGAGCAATCCGCCCGCCTCAGCCTCCCAGAGTGCTAGGATTACAGGCGTGAGCCACCGCGCCCGGCTTAAAAGAATACATTTAAAAAATGAACATTCTCAAGGTAGAATAATGGTTAATGGATTTTATAAATCAGGATAGATTTCCACTGTGGAAATGCAATTAAGTAACTTAAAAACTCTTCTATTACCAACTCTTAAAAATAAAACAACCATTTTAATAAATATAAAATAACTTTTTTAAAAAGAAATTTTTAGGCACCAGTAATCAAAAAAATGATTGAGAACCAGAATGAGAAACATCTGATATGGGGGTGGGATTGGTGAATTGTTGGTTTTCATTTTCTAGGTACCTGGATTTTAACACACACAAAGGGAACAAAAGGAAAGACCTTGCCTTACATGAGATGGAGAGTTTGAAGAGAAAGGATGCCCCACATACATACTCTCTGCCCTAAAGTGTATAGTGTAAAAGAAATGGTGAATTATCTCTGCCCCACAGCAGAGAAAGATGAGAAGTTTTATGTATCTTGACTTTTGGCCGATATGTGGAAAATAACTCCTCATGTGGAAATATGTAACTTTAGGTCACACAGTTTCAAAATCTGTGAGTCTAGCTCACACTGCTGTGGTCCTACAGTTTTCAGCCAAGAAACTGGCATAAATACTTAAACAAGCCTGGTCGCCTCTAGGAAGCAAAACAAATTCAAAACTACTGTGGAGGACACATACTCAAATTTGTCTAGACAAAATTCTCACACATAAAATCTGCTGAATATCAGCTTACAATCCAATAACATAAACCAAATGAGAAAATGAGTAACAGTCAGAAATCCCAACAATACAATTAGATCCCTAACAATAATCAGATCTATTCTATGAAATAAGTATGTTTAAAATTATTAAAGACCTAAAAAAATTAAAAAAAAAAACACAAGAAAAAGATAATTGAAAAAAAATCCAAGTCCTAGAAATGAAAGTAGTCACTGAAATAAATGCAGTAAATAGCTAAACAGTAGATTAGATACAGTTGTAGATAATAACAAACCTGAAGAGCTGAAGAAACTAATCAGCATCCAGGATGAAGAGATAAAAAGATGGAAAATATGGAAGAAAGGCCAAGATACATGAACACTAGAATGAGCAGGTTCAACATAGTATATTACAAGAGAATGAGAGAAAAGAGAATAGTATAAAGCAATATTCAAAATTTTCAAGAATGATTTAAGACTTGAATCCTTGGATGCAGAAAGGGTATTAAGTACTGAGAAGATAAATAAAACAAGATCCACATCTATACACACTGGAATTAAACAACAGAGTATCAAAAGCAAAGAGATTTTTAAAACATTAAAGAATAAAGAGAGATTATATACCAAGGAATGATAATTAGACTGACAGCTGAATTCTTAATACTAACAATAACAGCAGAAAATGAAATTGTACCTTCAGAGTGATAAGACAAAATAATTGCAACATAATACCCCCTACCTACCTAAATTATGATACAAGAATGACACATTTTCACACAAGATTGAGTGAACTATCCCTCATAGATCCTTTCAGATAAAAAGAAGTACTAAAGGGTATACTTCAGAAAACCAAAATTTAATCCGGATGGGACAATGTGACACTAGAAGCAATCATGAATAAAGATATTAGTAAACTTTAACATACATTTAAATGGTTTTTAATTGGATAACAATGATGAAGAAGGAGGAGGACAAGGAAGAAGAGAAGGGAACAACCGCTTTAGGGCTGCAAAACAAGTTGGTACTCCATAAATACATACAACTATAATTTGTCAATTTACAATTAAAAAAATAAAAATAAAAAACCTACCTACTTTACCTCCCTAAAATAAAATAAAACAAAACAAAAATAAGTTGGAACTAAAACACTAGAAAACAATAACATGTTACTGAGGATGTAATTAGAACCAAAGTGAAAACCAAAGTGTTCTAAGTTTCTTTGGTTTTTAAAAATATTTATTTATCTACGTATGTATGTATGTATGTATGTATGTATTGATTGATTGAGACAGGATCTCACTCTGTTGCCTGGGCTAGAGTGCAGTGGTGTCATCATAGCTCATTGCAACCTCCAACTCCTGGGTTCAAGTGATTCTTCTGCCTCAGCCTCCCAAGTAGCTGGGACTACAGATGCATGTCACCACAACCAGTTAATTTTTCTGTTTTTGGGAGAGAGAGAGTCTTGCTCTTGCTCTGGCTGGTCTCAAACTCCTGGCCTCAAGCAATTTCCCCGCCTTAGCCTCTTAAAGTGCTAGGATTATAAGCATGAACCACTGTTCCCGGCAATAATTATTGTTTTTAATGGTAGTAAAATAAACATAACATTTACTATCTCAACAATTTTTAAGTTTTCAGTCAATGGCATAAGTACATTCATATTGTTGTGCAAACAATCACCACCATCCATCTCTACAACTTTTTCATCTCGCAAAATTTATACTCTGTATACATTAAATAGTAATTCTCCTGTTCCCCGTTCCCCGTGCCCCTTTCCCTAGTACCTGGCAACCACCCATTGTACTTCCAGTTTCTTTGAACATGACTATTCTAGGTACCTAATGTAAGTGAAATCATACAATATTTGTCCTTTTGTGACTGGCTTATTTTGCTTAGCATAATGTCCTACAGTTTCAGCTGTATTGATTGTAACAAATGTCAGAATTTCCTTCCTTTTTAAGGCTGACTGATATTCTATTGTATGTACAGACCACATTTTGTTTGTCTTCCATCTCTAGTTTACTTTTAACCTCAACCAGTAAATTTTAATTTCAATCACTGTACTTTACAGTTCTAAAATGTCCATTTGATTCATTTTTCTCCTGAGATTCCTTATCTGTGCAATGTTTAAGATTATATATTTCCGTTGCTTCTTTAAGTCTCTGTCTGCTAAGTTCAACATCTGTGCTATCCAGGCTTTTACTGACTTTTATTTCTTGACTCTATATCACTATTCCCAACCCATTTCTGTTCGGTCTAGTGGTTTTTGATTGAATCTTGGTCATTGTAAATAAAATGTTACAGAGAGTATGGATTCTGTTATCTTCCTCTGAAGAAGAATAATTCTTGTCTAAGCACATAAAAAAACCACTGACTAGTCTCCTTGAACATGTGTTAGCTTACAGTTATACTCTTGTGAGTACAGATTTATACAAAACCCAAGATTTATCTCAAGCCCCTCTACTTGGAAGAGAGACTTCCAAACTCTGTGGACCTTATCAGAGCTTGGATTTAGACTGTTAAACAGGTTGAGAGTAGGTCTTATGTACAACAGTGTTAAATGGCCTCCAGAGTTGAAAATTCAATGTCTGCAAGCACTGTATCTCCTTCAGCATTGTTTGATCCCTAGTATTCTGTTCTGTTTTCCAAATTTCATCTACTATTTGGCAAGTCTCATATGATCTTGTAGTATACGTGTATAATCCAACCCTCAAGAGGTATGCCCACATGGATACCTTAGGTCCTCCCTCTGCACAATTCTCTACTCTCCAATGTAAAGCCCTGCAGATTCCAGCTACTGCAGCTACTCTGATCTCTTTCCCTAATCTCTGAAGGACTGCTATATTCTGCTCTCACTGTAGCTTTCTGCATTAGAGTCAAGAACTGTCCCAATCTGGAGCTATTGTGAGGCACTCTTTGTGAGTTTATCTGTTAGGGATAATAGTTTTATGCTGCCTGTTGTCCAATGCCTGAAAACAGTTGTCTCAAATATTCTATGCAGTTTTACAGTTGTCTACAGTGGGAGCTAATTTGGTACCAATTATTCCATCCACCATGGCCAGAGGCAAAGGCTGCCTAATACTTTTTAAAGAAGTTATCTTTGTAGGATAAACTTTCAGAAGTCAAATTACTGGTCCAGAGTAATGTGACATTTTCGTGCTTTTGGAATGTATTATACTAAATTTTTCTACAAAAGGTTCTGCCAATTAAACTAGCATATATCTGGACCTCTACAATGCAGCTAGGAAAATGAAGTTCAAAAAAATAACAAAGGATAAAATTGAGCATATAAACTTTTAAGTAATATAAAGGGGTTTAGGTTTAGCAGAAGTTAAGCAAATGGGAACACGAAACTAAATCAACCTAGAGGATTTTGTGAAAAAAGAATTTATTTGTTGAATACTGTCCCTCAGAATAACTATGTAATTCGGGAAAAAATACAAAAGAAACAAAAGTGAGAACAAAGTACATTTTCTTTTCCATATACGACTTATTTTCTTTACCCCTCTGGAAATTTAAAAGTATCTCAAGTACGATAATATTTAACAGCTAAAGAAGGAGCAAACAAAGGTCTGATAAAGCATATATTATATCAATCTTAAGATAATTACTATAATTAATTATAGTATATATATGGTATATATAATTACTGTAATATAGTTTAAGATTTATCTTTATTTACCGTTCCATCTTCCATCAGCTTCAGACAGGAACCAAAATCTGCTAACCGAATATGTCCATTCATATCCATCAATATATTGTCAGGTTTAATGTCTCTGAAAAAATAAATACATACAATATTTAGTTGAGAAAAATAAACATAATCAGTTGCTTGGTAAGATAACCTTTTTGTCTGAAAATCTCAACTTCTTTTAAAAGTAATACTTTAAGAACATCTATTTAATTACTTTATAGATGAAATTCCTGGCTCTGATTCATATTAAAACTTTCTTAAATATGTAATTTCAGTATTCTCCTGGGGATAAAAAGTACTGTGGTAATTTTCATTCTGGTTAAAGTAAACGATCCTTTCTTTGGATTTACACAGGTTCCAATGTGACTAGAGTAGGCCTACTTTCTGCATACAGAGAAGAATCATAATTACCTGATACTCAAAAAAAAAATACTATTTCTAGCCCAAGAAACTGGACAGGGAAAAATATACTCTCTAGACCCTGAAGATAATTGCAGATAGATAAATTCTCTAGTACTTCAGGTCACGACAACACAAAGAAATTGCTTCACAAAGTTGATTTTGCAGAAGAACTGAAACAGTTGCCTAATATAGATTATAGATTATCTATATTATTTAAACCTTTCATTATTTGCAGATGTTAATGGCTTGAAAGATATTCAATTCTAAGTAATAAACTATGTCATACCAGTTTTTTTATATATAAAATGGTTTTGTAAAGAAGGTTCTCAGGGATCTAGCAATATTAAATTTTCTAATCATATTCTAAAGATTGTAATTGTGAATAGCTAGGAGATTAGACCCTCCCAATTTACTTTTAGAGAAAGAAAAAGAATCTTCCATGAACACTATGTATGTTTTTAAAAAAATTCTATTGCCATGTAGTTAATGGGAATATGGTAGGGGGTTCCCCTTTAATTTAACCTGAATGATGCCATTTAAGGTCTCTGCATTTCAATTTTCCCACCTGTAATTATGAGTATAATATTAGTACTACTTTAATTACTGAAGCAATTTCTGTGAGTGTGTTATACATCATAGTTTGGCAAATTACCACCCATGGGCCAAATCTATTTTGCTGCCCACTTTTGTATTAATTAATAAAGTTTTACTGAAACACAGCCGTGACCATCCATTTAGGTATTGCCTATGTCTGTTTTCACACTACAATGGCAGAGTGAATAGTTGTCACAGACACCATAAGCCCGCAAAGCCTAAAATATTTATTATTTGGCTCTTTACAGAAAATGTTTTCCCCATTGTAGATGATAAATGATAGGTAAATAGAAAGAGACTGAAAACAACCTGCATAATACATTAGTTTTATAATCCTCAACATCTGAATTTATCCTAAACCGTCAAAAAAGCTATATTAAGAAAAAAAATTCTGTTTTTAAACATCAAGGAAGTAAACATAAGTGCTGGAAGGGAGCTCAGAAATTATCCAGACCATTTTTAGATGAAGAAAAATGTATTTTATTCTTTATTTTAAAACTGAGCTACACAGTCACTAAGAATTGTTGTTCTTGGTACAGTATGTCTCAGATATTAAAAGAGATTAAAGGAATTCCAAAGACAGATTTTATATACATCAACATTATTTTTGGCTATTATAGAAAGAGTAAATATTAAAAATTAATAAAATATAAAGTATATTAATGTGATTATATTTATATTTACAATACTATATAAATTAATAAAATAGGAAATACTTAAAATTAACAAGACATTATAGATAGCATTGAGGATACTAAGTATTCCATTACCATTCCTGATCTTATCCTCTCTCTCCACTACCCAGAGGCAACCACTATACTTAATTTGTTGTTTACTATATCCATGCATATTTTATACTATTATACATACCATGTTTCCCAAAAAATGAGACAGGGTCTTATATTTATTTTTCCTCAAGAAGACACCCTACGACTTATTTTCAGGGGATGTGTTATTTTTTTAAGTGCGGTACAACAATCTACATTTATTCAAATATAGTTAAGTCGTCTTCTTCTGGAACATCATCATTAACTCTCCAAACCCCCCATTCCATCCTGAATTTCTTGACTCTATTTCCTTTAGAACCACTGGCCCCAATCTCTAGAACAATTGCGCCAATCTCATGTGGCGCAATAGAGCTCTCATGGGGCAGATGAGAAGGGCTGCTCATCTTCTTTACCCCTCAGCAACGAAATGCATGGGTTGTGCAGATACACTAGGTCTTATTTTCAGGATAGGGATTATAGAAATTCTGCTAGGCCTTATTTTACAGGTAGGTCTTATTTTGGGGGAAACACGGTATATATAAAATACCATAAAACTATGTATTTTTATGAATGTCTTTTTTTTTTTTTTGGAGACTGGGACTTGCTCTGTTGTCCAGACTGGAGCACAATAGCCTAATCATAGCTCACGGTAGCCTCAACCTCCTGGGCTCAAGCGATCCTCCTGCCTCAACCTCCTGAGTACTTGGAACTACAGGCATGCAACACCATGTCCAGCTAGTTTTTTATTTTTTAAGTTTTTGTAGAGACGGAGTCTCACTCTGTGTCCAGGCTGGTCTCAAACTCCTGTCCTCAAGCAATCATACCACTTCGGCCTCCCAAAGTGCTAGGATTATAGGTGTGAGCCACCACTCCTGGCCATGAATGTCTTTAAACTTTAGAGGTGATACCAAACTGTGTGTAGCCTTTTACAACTTGGTTTTATTTAAATATTATGTTTCTAAAACTTATCCATTTTGCTATATATTGCTCTAGTTCACTGATTTTAATTGCTATCTGGGATGTTTTCATATACATATCAAAATTTACTTATCAATTCTGATTATGGAATTCAGATTGTTTCTTATTTTTATTTTGCTAATGCACAGAATGCTGAGACGAATATTTTTATAACTGTCTCCTAGTACTCATATGTGAATGTCTCTCTAGACTATAGATTTAGAAATGGAATTGCTGAAATGAAAGACATGCCCATCTTCAACTTTACTAGCATGATTACCAGTATGGTTTTGAGGATTTTTTTTATATTATCATTGTTCATCTTAGATTCTTCTTCTGTAAAATAGCTATTAATATCCCTTGCCATTTAAAAAAACAATGTGTGTGTTATTTTTTTTTTGCTAATCTTTGGGAATTCTGTTCACTCGAACTTAGTTCCTTACATGTGTTACAAATCTCTTCTCCTTGCATGTGGGCTCGTTTATTAACTTTGTTTGTAGTGTCTTTTTCATTTGTAAAAGAGTATTTACTACTAATGTAATCTTATAATTTATCATTTGTGGTTACTGTATTAAGAAATCTTCCCTTCTCCTCTTCCCAGACATCATAAGGATAATGTCCTAGTTTTCTCTTCTGTAAATTTTAAAGTTTTACATTTCATTTGAAGTCTTTACCTGAAATTAATTTTTGTGTGTACTGTGAGATAAAGGGTAATTATATTTCTTTTCATCTGAGCATCATTTACTGAATGATATCCTTTCACCACTGACTTCTATTACCACCAAGGTCATAAATCTAGTGCATTTGTTTCAGGATTCTCTAAACTATTTCACTGGATAATATTTAGAGTGAAAGGGAGCCTATCAATAATCACCAGGACAACAGGCATAAACTGGAACTCTTCCAGGCAAACCATGATGTATGACCACCCTCTCTACATGCCTACACCTGCACCAATACCACATTGTCTTAATTTTAAGACAATGAGCTTCACACTAGTAGAGCATCGTCTTAAATAGCCATGGTTCTTCTAGAACAATGGTGGGATTAGCTTAATATGTTCCATAAAATATACTGAGATTTTGATGGGAATCACAATGATTTTATGTATTAATCTGAAGAGACCTGACATTTTTACAATATGATTCTTCCCATCTGTGTATACACTATAACTTATGTGTAAGTCTTCTTTTATTCTTCAGAAATATTATTTTCCAGAGAAAGCTTACACATCTTTTATTATGTATAGTTTTAGCTACCTTACAGCTTTGTTGCCATTATAAATAGGATTTTCTTAGAAGAAGCATTCTCATTGTATTATCAGTTTTAATGGAAATGCCTCCTATGGCAAACCATTAACATTAATATTTGGTTTAGACTTTTCGAAGAAACTCAATAGTAGGTTAAGAGAATTACCTTCTACTCTCAAATTGCTGAAAGTGTCAGGAAAGGGTATTCCATTTTATTGTCATTTTTAGTATAAAAACTTTTTAATTATTTTTCTCCATTAATCTATTAATATAGTAAATTACACCACTAATCTGATGTTGAAATTCCCTTAAATTCTGGGTTGAAACCTACATAGTCATACTTTTTCCTAATCTGCCATGTATCACTGACTCTAAAACTCCATTGATTATAAAGATGCACCATTACATCATGTGCCACTAAAACAAAGAACACATTGATAACTATAATTTTAGAAGCTATTTATTTTTAAATGGATCCTAATTTTGGAGATAATAAGTTTGAAAAAATTATCTCAGTATTGATATAATACATACACTGTTGAATTTTATTGTTTTACATTTAGGACTTTTTCTTTTTTATATATTCACTGATATCATTCTTTTCTTATACTATCTTTATCAAGTTTTATTGTCAAGGTTTTATTATCTTCATAAAGTAAGATAAATGGCTTTTCAAATTTTCTAAAGTAATGTATATTGAATACAATTATTGAGTCCTTGAAAGTAAATCAGAACCCATCTATAAACCAAATGGAGTGCTAGAATGTTTATAGCAGCTATATTCATAATAGCTGAAAACTGTAAAAAATTCAAATGACGATCACTAGGTGAGTAGATAAACTTTCACAAATTTATACAATGGAATACCACTCAGCAATAAGATCTATTGAGATATATACATATATATATAATTGGATGAATCTCAAAAACATTATGTTGATCAAAAGATGCCAGATGCAAAAGAATACATAACATATGATTCCACTTATAAGTTTTACAGTAGGGAAACTAAGCTACGGTATTAGAAACCAGAACAATCAGTAGAGGAATAGAAGAAATTAGAAAACTGAAGATGTTAACCAAAAAGGGGCACAAGGTCTTTCTTCGGTGATGAAAATTCTTGATTGGGATGGTGGTTACACAGATTTATATAATGTCAAAACTCAGCACTGCACATTTAGCACTTATGCATTTTATCATATTTACTTCAATTTTAAAAATACATGGGGGAAAAATGTAAAAACTAAAAAATATGATATTGCAGTCTTGCAGAGGACTTTTCATTACAGATTCAATTTCTTTAAATGTTCTTATTTTAGTCAGATAATTTCTATTTCTTCTAAATTATAGTGATTTATATTTTTTCTAATAAAATATATATTCCATCCACATTTTCCTATTTACTAGAATATGGTTGTTCAAAGTATTGTTATTATTTTTAAAATATATATTTGTAATTCTATTCCTAATATCATTTTTCTACATATTTTCTCTTTTTTCTTTACAAAAATAATCTTTATTTAGAATTCTGTTTTCCATGTAGTGTTCTAAGTTCTTTAAGTGCATTACTTATTTAATATTCACAACACTGTTGCTATAAGGTAGGTACAAGTATTTTTCCCTATTTGTGGATCAGGAAGGCTAAGCTAAACAGAGTTAATGCTTATGGACACATAGTAATTAGGGGATTCTAGCCCAGGCAATCTGGCTCCAGATTCCATATTTTTTGCTATGATCAACCTTTTGCTAAATGCTTGTGGGTTTTAGTGATTATTTCAAAATAATAATTTCTGCTTTACTGATCTTCTCATTTTGGTACTTCATTTCATCAATTTTATCTTCTTTTCATCTTTTTCTTCCTTTGTAATTCAGCTTTACATTGTTACTTTATTCCAGCTTCCCAAGTTAGAGGCTTAACTTATTTTTTAAAAATCTTTCCTTTTTCAGTATTTTCATTTAAGGTTAGATATTTTCTTTTATAGCAGTAATTACTGTAGCTATATTCCACAAGTTCTGATACATAGTACTTTTATTTTCTCTTCATTCTAAAAATTTTTAAATTTCTATTGTAATCTTTCCTCTAACCTATGAGTTACAAAGCAAGTATTTTAAAGTTTAAAATTTTTTGATTATTTTTTAACTGCTGTTTTAATATCATATTTCTTCTCTCCTCAATCCCACTGCATCCTTTCCTTGCCTCCTTCAAAAGGGAGGAGGCTACTAGGATAATTTTCAGTAGAAAATAATATTGTAGTAATATACCCTTAGAGTGTTTACCTTTATAATACCATAACATCCTTGGGTTTCCACAATAAAGTAATAAGGAAATGGTCTGCATTTCTGCAGATAGTCAATTAACATTTTAATAAGCACCTTTGGAAATTTTTTCATCTTTATAAAAGGACTTTTTTCCCTACAAAAAGTTCTAAGTTACCATAATCATAATGATAAAACACATTGTTTTGAAATCTAAACTTAAAAAGATTATGGGGAGTCTTCCCGTTTTCAGTCTAGCATATAAGGAGCTCAGAAGTCACCACTATGTCCTAACAAGTAAAAACTGAAAACTCAACAGCAGTTCTTCTTACATATGTAAGTGAAGTGAGGTCACAGGGTAAACTGCTGTACCTTAAATCAGAGAGACAGACAAGCACACACAGAGAATCTCAACAAAAAAGCACTTTGGTTTTTCATATAATTCATTCCTCAAGTATACCATAATACCATCTTAAAAATTACACTGTGCTTTACAATTTTAAAAACATTTCCATGCCTTCATTTCTAATAAAATTTGTGACTATCAGAAACCAACAGAGAAAAGTGCATGAATAGGTAAGAGCCAAATTGAGATTTGCTAAAATATAAACTTTTTAATCACAATATTCTTCCTTTAATAATGTCCTAGAACTTCATTACTAATCAAATGAATCAGCATAAGACACTCACATCTTAAAAAAAACACACTGAAAGAGAAACATCCTTTCCTTTCCATACTTTACGCTCTTCTCAGTGATCACTCTCATCACCCAGAATTTAAAAGAAACAGTCACTGCTCTCTTAGAACAGTGGTTCTCCACGTGTGATGACTAGACCAGCAGCACCCCCATCATTTGGGAACTTGCTAAAGATGCCAATTTCCCATCCCCATTTAATCTACTGAATCAGAAATTCTGAAGTTGACCCAACAATCTAAGTTTTAACATGCCTTCCATATGACTCTGATGCATGCTAAAATTTGAAAATTACTGCCTTAGGAAATGATTTAGTTTCTTTCTAGCACTGTAGTACCCCCTTACCTCCTTCTCCTCAGCATCTTTCTCTTTTACTCATTTGGCACAAAACAAAGATTTCTCTCATTTGAAAGATTAAATCACCAACAACTTTGTGATGACTTCCTACTTTCTCTCCTTTTAAAATGTGAGGTTGCCTTTTAAACCAATGTGTTTTCAAATTTTTTATTAAATGTAAATTATAGTTTACAATGAAAGAAATTATTCCATGAACATCAAATTATCACATTCCTGTGAAAATCTCTCTTCTTACATTTATACAATCCTTGAAAGTATCTTCTTGAGAAACATAAAATACATAGTATGGGTCTTACTTAGCAAATATTCCTAGGATTTATGGCTTAGAATTCCAGCTAATATCAATATATAAGACTCAACTATAAGGAAACTGACCAATACATACTCCTTGTGAGATAGAAATCATATGTAAACTTAAATACGAGTGTTTTTTTAGAAGTGTTCTGTAGAAATGCTGACTGAAAGTGGGAACTTTTAGATACACATGTACATATAGGTATAAGCACATCAGTTTTGTAATACTGACAACTAATGACAAAGCAAAACAACCAAAATCATCTCAAAATAATTTTGGTTGATGAGAAATGTATCTAAGACCATAATTAATAAATTTAGAAAAAATAGACTTCTGTTACTAGATATCACATTGTAACTCACAGTCTGGTGCAAAGGACTACTGTCTGACTTACCTGTGTACATAATGTAGTTGATGAACCGAGTCAACTGCAATCACCATCTCAGCCAAGTAAAATCGAGCCATATCTTCAGGCAATCTATCTTCAAATTTGCTGAGTAGAGTAAGCAAATCCCCACCAACATAATAATCCATAACTAGGTACTGCGAAAGAAAAAACAAAATGTACTCAATAAATGATAAGAGTGAAAAATTAATATAATGTATCCTAAGGTCAAAGAGGACTGGGTCAAATACTTAACATGGCTAATTATTTATACATTTCATTAACAAGAAGCTGTGTACGATGATTATCAGAAATCATTATAAGACATCTAAATTTCATATAGCAGCAAAATAAAATTTTTAAAAATTGAGTCAAAAAACACCACAGGATTACCATTTTTGTTGTATTTTGCAAAATACAAATATCATCATCGTCGTCGTCTTCTTCTTCACCTACAACAATGGTCCACAGCTTTACCAACACTGTCTATCTTCCACCTTCAGCCATATACCACTATATATTTCCTCTTAAGAAACCCGAAACCCATGGATCCCTTCTCTTCCAACCTTTCAAAGTACCTTATTGAAACTCTTTAATCATAAATTTCCCTCAGAAAAAACTAAAATGATGAATAAAGGAACTATTCCAGTTTTCCTTGCCTGCTAAACTGGGTTCTGGCTTTACTTACTCATATCCTTTCCCTACTGTGTCCTCAGAAGTAAATTAGCCATTACTAAGACAGAATTCACAGCAAGTGGAGGAAAGGAGCAGTAAAACAAAATTCTCAAGAGAAAAACAGTAAGTTGAAAATGAACTATACTCGCATTGAGGTTCTGGTGTTAGGGAGACAATATATATCAGTAGAAGCACACAAATAATAACTTCACGGAGGAACAAAACTCCTTTTCCTTTATATCATATCTCAGTGAATGTCACCAAGATCTGGAAGTCATTTTTTTATGCTTTCTCTTTGATTCACCACAAAATTCAATTCAATCATCAAGGTCTTGCTGAGTCTATTTCCTGGCAAATCTCTGTGAAATTCATCTACTTCTACCCCTATCCAATATCAAATCCTCTCCTAACCCAGGCCCCTGGCCTCTCTGGACTATATTACTGTTATGGGTATAAGGGCAAAGTATACAGCTTCCTATAACATTTTATTATGTAAACAATTTTCTTGGGAATGGAAAACAATACAGAACAATAAAGAAACAAATAAGTTCATTAATTCCACAGATATTTTTAAGAGTAAACTACTATGTGCTGACATTACACTTACACAACTGGGATATAAGAATGAATAAGACATGGTTCCTGCCTTCAGGGAATTTTATGTATCAATGTTGATATAATTAAGCAGCTTTATATTTAATGAGTTTTTCTCTTTTATTATTGAGGTAAGATCTCACTCTGTCACCCAGGCTAGAGTGCAGTGGCATCATCATAGCTCACTGCAATCTCAAACTCCTGGGCTCAAGCAGTCTTCCTACCTCAGCCTCTCATGTAGCTGGGACTACAGGCATGTGCCACCATGCTCAGCTAATTTTTTCTATTTTGTGTAGAGATGGCATCTTGCTCTTGCTCAGGCTGGTCTCAAACTCCTGACCTCCCACCTCAGCCTCCCAGAGTGTAATGAGTTTTTCTTAAGGAAAAAATGTTCTAATCCCATCTTAATATCATTCACTAAACTATGTACCTTTTTATGAAACACATAAAATGAACACTTGTTATAACTCTGTACATTTGTTGATAAATTAGCTGTAGTAGTAGGTAGGCTAGAAAATGAAAGTCAAATTATTTACCACAGCATTCTTAAATTGTATAGCACTATAAACCATGTGGCTTCTTTGGTTATTTAAAAGCTACCAGGGTTAAAAGTTACTCTGGAAAATAACTATGCAAAATGAAATTTCCTTTTTTAGTACCTAAAGCTAGGTTTGTCAACATTTTTTGATGGCATTATTTCATAAATGTTCAAAAGAAAATCTTTAATGATAACCAAGATTTCTGACTCTTGAGATTAATATATGATGAAAAGTTCCCCTAAACTAAAGAAAAACTGGCAGATTACAGGAGACACTAGAGTGTTTTGGCTCTCCTCCACTTATTGTGAAACTTTCATTCTAATATAATTAGTGACTGGTATATGCAGGCTATTTCTGAGAAATGTCTCTGAAAAAGAAATGTTAAACTTAATGTCAAATGCAAAGAGTGCAAATAAAACTAAATAACTTAGATGAGATAGAAAGGTAAATTTTTAGTCCAGGCTTTTTTCTCATCAAAGTTTTGGCAAATTATGCTATATAAAACTTGGCATTTGGATATTTTCTATATCTACAAATTTTAGATTTATTCCAATATTTATAGCTAAATGTAGATTTTTAAGCAATGTATAAATCTACAGTGTTAGATCTATCTACAATAGAATATGTTGTCACGGTGGATTTTAGTCCTCATTATTTGAATACATTTGAAAATTATCATGATAAACTATTATAAGTTTGATAAGCAAAATACCTGGCATATGTTTTAATTTACTCTTCCAAATTTCGCTAATAAACTCATACAGATAAAATATACATGATACACTTATCCCTAAAATTTCTTGTAAGTAGAGTAAATCCAATTCAAACAACATTCTGTTTAGTTTAATGCCCAAACAACTAACACGTGCAAAGCTCTATGGTATGGCTTTTAAAAAATTCTCACATCTCACAATATTATAATGCATAAGGCTTATATGATGATTCAATAAATTATAAAAGAAAGAAGTATCATAAAACAGTATTTACTCATACTACTTGCCATGAACTCTGTTATTTTGTATTCTATTTAATCTTTAAAGATTATGCTTATAAGCCATTAAACTGATTTTATAACTCACTAATGGGGCAGAACCTCCAATTTTAAAATCTCCATTTTTATACTCTATAAGCATTTAAGGGATATAAAAACAAGTAATGACATTGTTTGAACATATATAGATGTGGCCTGAAATCAGATAAACCCCCAAACTATTAAAAAGTTATGATTTTATTTTAGCTAAAGATATTAGGGTTCATGCCATTTTAAAATGTTTTAAGTTCTGCCAAAAAATCAGAGATATATACATATATGTGTTAGTTATGTAACACCAGTACTAAAAAAAAATGCAAAGCTGAAATGAAATGAGGAAGATTAATTCCAATGGGAAATTTTGGAAATGACTATTTTAAGATGTAGAAATTGAGCACAGAAGCAGGGAAGAGAAATGGGACCAGTATTAAAGGTATCAATGGGCACTAAAAATAAAGGCAACATGTAGATGAGTACAGAGTATATTCAAGAATGAAGGGTATTCCACTGAGACTGAAATGTAGGATTTGTGGGTGAGAAAAATTTTTCTAATCTTTTTTTTTTTTTTTAACCAAATACTGTATTTAACACTATTGATCATTTCCTCTATCAACTCACTTTTGTTTTCATGGTGCACTATCTTGGCTGTCTTTACTCTGGTCATTGCCATTAGTTTTCTTCTGGGATTCCTCTATCTCCGTCTTCTCTAGGTATATTTGTTTTTACCTTTTATAAGCATTACTCAGTTATTCCCACTTACTCCTTGTAGTCACTGTTATCTATAGCAGGAGTTGGCAAACTTTTTCTGTAAAGGGCCAGATAGTAAACACCTTAGGCTTGGTAGCCCAAAAGGCAAAATCAAAGATACTATGTAGATACTTACATAATAAGAGAAAAACAAATTTCTACACATTTCTCTGGTTTTATAATCAACCAATGTCCTCAATTTGTTGAGCAACTGTTCTCACCAAAAGGCTAATACATTTTCTCAGACAAGTTTATTTTTCCTGGGCACACTTCTTTGGCCACTGTACTCAAACATGATTTAATTAACTCAACATTGGCAATTGGCTTTCCTTGCGTGGCTAACAAATGAGCTACTAAGAAAATTTAATACAGATACAGACTCATTTTCATTTTTTTCTTATGAAGAAAGTCTGCTGTGATAGATATTCTTTTGTAAATTTTCTGATTTTTCTGACTGCTGCTTTCCTGTGAGTTGAGAATGTGGTAATGAGTGCTTAGTCTGGCAATGCAGACATACATTGTATTCTATTAATTCATTTGTAGTATGGTTGCATAACAAACACAATGCTCTGCCATTTAATTCATTAACATAATAATTCACACTCTACTATGCCTTAAAACCATGATATTTGAAGACAATTTTTCTCTTCTTTCCTTATTTTGACATGATGGGCACACACTATTGATAAAAATAATAACAAAATGTCACAGTATAGCAATGTCAAAACACTATCAAGTTATAACTGGTCACTGCAATTTGTAGTGTACTAAGCAGCAGTACAAAGTGATGAGATTAATATATAATGTTACCCTCTAGCATAGTACCAGTCTCTATCCCAACTAGTCAGTTCTGCCACTGTACCGCAAAAGCAGCCATAGACAATGTATCAATCAATAAGTATAGCTAAGTTCCAATAAAACTTATAGAGACTGAAATTTGAATTTTATATAACAGTCATACATCACAAAATATTATTTTTATTTTTTTCAACTATATAAAAATGTAAAAACCGCTCTCAGTTTGCAAACTGTAAAAAACAAGTAGTATGCCAGATATGAGCTACAGGCCATAGTTTGCCAAAACCTGAACTATAAAATAAGTACTCCAAGATACATAGTGCTGTTTGTGTACCAGACTTATATATCCAACCTGCTGAATCACATGACAATTCAAATCCTACATATACCAAATTAATCATCTTTCCAACTCCCACTCTAAATTTTCTCTCTCCCTCCTTATATTCCCCAGCTCAATTCATCAACAACTAACTACTGAATCCCACAAGTCAGACACAGGAAAAAAGGGAATCATTGTGACTCTCTCCTCCACTGACATCCACTCAAACACACAAAGTTCTAATTATTTCACCTCCTAAATAGTACCTGAAACCATCCCCTCCTCTTCATTCCTACTTGGATATTATCACCTGTATACTAGCCCTCATCATCTATCATGTAAATATTGTCAAAGTCTACTAGTCTCCTTGCCTCTAGTTTTGCCCCTGAAATCCACAAGCCACACTGCTACCAGCATATTCTATGTAAAATGTAAAACTGATTAATTCACTCTCCATAAAACCTTCCTTAAAATAAGAATTAAGTCCAACTCCTTAGCATGATCTGTACTCTAAAAGCCCCATTTTATTTCTCTCTCTCCTTGGTTCCTATACTCTAATCACACTAGCCTTCCCTAAAACAATCCTTGTCCTTTCTAGCCACAAACTCTTCTATGGTTCTAAAACAGCAGTTTTCAAATCTGCTCTGTAAGGAGCAAAATTAATTGCTCCTTGAGTAACAATGTAAAAAGGTAGAAGAAGGGAGGCAGGAGATTAATCAGGAAGGTTCAATTCCTATGTGCATTATCGTCTAGGCTTTCAGATACAATGTCATTTAAAAACACACACAAGTACCCTAACCAAAATAATAATAAAAAAAAAAAACTGAAAAATGGTTGTGAAAGTCTAATTTGCTTAGCAAAACATATAAGAGCATATTACCTATATGATGTGACTCTCTCATCCTTCCTCCCTAAACCTCTTATCCTGTCCTCCACCAGTATGAACATAACAAGCTACTACAAATCTCTGCTTCTGCTCACCAAGCACTCTCTGCATCTTCTCCCTTCGGTTTGGCTAATTCATGTTTGTCTCTCTTAGAAGAGTCTTCACTGACATCATACCTTTGAATAAATGTAATATTTTTCTCTTCTGAAATAACATGAAAATATTATTTACTTGATTTTGGATTTACTGCCTGGCTCCTCTCATGAGAATGTAAGAAAAAGAGAGATCCTTTGTTTGTCTTACTCACTACTACATCTCTAGAATCTAGAGAACAGTGCCTACCATGCAGCACACATCCAGTAAGTATTTATCAAATGAAGGAATTTTTATTTATTTATTAATTTTTATATACCAGTTTTTAATGTAGTGTCTAGCACAAAGCAGGATCTCAACACATGTATGCTAAAAAATAAACCTGGAAATAAAATACCAAAAAACCTTGAATAGCAAGCCAAGGAGTTGTATACTCTTAATTTCCTATTCACTTGTTTATCTCTTCATGCTTCTAATATTTTGACTTTCCTCCAAGTTCTTTCCCAACTTTTGTTAAGAGATTCATGATATCAATATAAAATCAAATATAGGCTAGGTTTTCAGTGTGGCTCTACTTAACATAGCACATGACCACTTTGAGAAATATGTAAACTTCTAAAAAGTAATAGAATACTACCAATACTATTGGGAAAATCACGAAAAGAACAAATGTTGAGCACCTCCTATAGAATTTAATAAGAATTAAATTTGTTTGGATTTAGTTTTGACTTCCTTATTTAAAAGCATAAAAAAATTCCAATGGAAAGGTATCAAATTAATGGGTGGGGGAATTGCACATCAAGTGAACAACTTATACTCTAAAATGCAGTGATTTTCTATTAATATATAAAATCTACCTTTAAACAATGCTTAAACAAAAAATAATGCTAATTCTTCCAACAAAAAATTAATAAGGATACAGAAACACATAAAAATGATTCTTACTAAGTTATTGTCATCCTGGAAAGCATAGTGCAAAGTTGTAATCCATTTATTGTCTCCATTCACTAATACATCCCTTTCTTCACGAAAACATGCTGTCTGAAAAAGAAAAAATAAATTTTAGAGAATACATTATGTAAAATTAGTAAATAAAACTAGTAAATATTATACAAACAATTGCTCAATATGTTTACTATTAATTCTGTTCTAGAAAAGGAATACAACCAATATTATATGACTTTTCAACAACATAAGTTTCAAAGCACCCTCACAAACTGGGCTACTAGAATAGTGCATTTTTAAAAATATTTTATATTTTAAAATACCATTATATTAATAGCTCAAAACAAGCAGAAAAATGCACAGAATAATTTAGGTAACAATCATGAATCAACCTATCATCCAGATAATATAAATGTCAACATTTTGCCATATTTACTTCTGATCTTTAAGGAAATAAAATACAAATTGTAGTCTTCCTAGTCCTATCCCTTTTTCCCCTGATGTAATAAATTATCTGTAGTGTGTCATCTACCAATCATATGTTTAGATCACACACATCTATGTCCAAAAACAATAGAACTATTTTGTGTTTTGAAAATATACATGAATGGTATAATTATATCTATCCTTTTGCAACTTGATTACTTTTTACTCAACAATAGCTGTTTTCCTTTTATCTGCTATGGCATTTGTTCCATTGTTTGAAGGCACCAGAATTTATTTAGGCAACTCCCTAATCATGAAGTACAGCCACCAATTTGGTGGCTATTGAATTTACCTTGTGGGAAATTGGCTAGGAACAGTGGCTCACACCTATAACCCTAACACTTAGGGAGGCTGAGGTGGGGGATCACTTGAACCCAGCAGCTCAAGACCTGCTCGAGCAGCATAGTGAGACCTTGTCTCTACAAAAAAATAATTTCCAATTTTGTGTTATTATAATATTGCAATAAATAGATCTGTATAAATATACAAGAGTTTCTCTACTGTAAAGACTCAAAAGTAGAAATGCTAGATATATTGGCCGGGCGCGGTGGCTCACGCCTGTAATCCTAGCTCTCTGGGAGGCCGAGGCGGCAGATTGCTCAAGGTCAGGAGTTCGAAACCAGCCTGAGCAAGAGCAAGACCCCGTCTCTACTATAAATAGAAAGAAATTAATTGGCCAACTAATATACATAGAAAAAATTAGCCGGGCATGGTGGCTCATGCCTGTAGTCCCAGCTACTTGGGAGGCTGAGGCAGGAGGATCGCTTGAGCCCAAGAGTTTGAGGTTGCTATGAGCTAGGCTGACGCCATGGCACTCACTCTAGCCTGGGCAACAAAGCCAGACTCTGTCTCAAAAGAAATGCTAGATATAAGGAAATTTCAACTTTACCAGAGATAACTAATTTTCTTTCCTAAGTGCTGTAACCAACTACCTGACACACACAGACCAGCGAATGAAAGCTCTGCTTTCTCTACATCCTCAATTGCATGTGGCATTATTAAACTTACAAGTGGTTGCCTATGTAACACGTGTGAAATAATATCTATTTGTTCTTTTAATTAACATATTCCTAATTACAGGTCCAGATAAATGGCTTTATATACACTTGTTGAACATATGAACTGTGTATCGCTCATTTCCTTTGTTCATTTTCTCTAATGGATTTTTTCAAATTGATTTTTTGAAGTTTTAATTTATTCAGACAATACATTTCCATTATTATAAAAGTATATCCTGGAGAATCTTAGAAATGTATGATTAAAAATAATTTTATATAATACATTATAATTCTATATTATTCTTAATTTTTTAATTAAAGACAAAACAAAATGAAAAATAACACCATTATGCCAGAAACTTCAGAGAGAGATGAAATATAAAGTAGAATGTATCTCTCAGTCATGCCCCCTCAGTTTCATTGTTCAATTGTTGTGTCCAGGTTACCACCATTAAGTTTTTGTTTAGTATCCTCTCAGAAAAGTCCTATGTATATATAAGCATACACACACATATTATATATTCATGTGGTGTCCCACCTCTCCTATCTTTTTTTCTTTACACAATGAGATCGTAATGTTCTGTAAGTTGTGTTTTTTTCAAGTAACAATATATTTGACCATATTTCCATACCAGTACATAGAAACCTACCTAATTTATTCTTAATGTCTATACCTACCCCATATATACTAAATATCATCACACAGTATGCTATGTGATAGTAGGTGTTTTTTGTCTGTGTGTGTACATGAGACAAGGTCTCACTCTGCTGTCTGGGATAGAGTGCAGCAGCAGCATCATAGCTCACCATGATCTCAAACCCCTAGGCTCAACTAATCTCCTTGCCTCTGCCTCCTGAAGAACTGGGACTTACAAGCGTGCAACACCACGCTCGGCTAATTTTTTAAATTATTTTTTTGTAGAGACAAGGTCTCACTATGCTGTTCAAGCTGGTCTTAAGCTGTTGGGTTCAAGTGATCCCCCTACCTTGGCCTCCCGAAGCGTTAGGATTATAGGTGTGAGCCACTGTGCCTAGCCAATTTCCCACATGGTAAATTCAATATCCATGATCAACAAAATAATTAACATTGTTATACTAGCCCTAACATTTTCCATGTATGTATATCCATAAATCTTATTCGACCAAATAGAATTTACAAAGCCATGCATTATATAGCAACATATTAAACATCAAAACAAATGAAGCTTAAAACAAATGAATGGGCAGTTTTACCTTCAATTAGATTATTAAAATGTACAACATTATACTTTGGTTCACTTTAGGGGAAAAACAGAATCACCTGACATACTATACCAAATCCTGTTTTATATTTTAACTCACTTGAGGTTATGGTTTACTGCTAACATTTTAGAGAGCTTGTGAAAGCTTTCAGAGCCTATAAGACCTCTCCCGGCTATATCTTACTATCACAGCTACCTGAAATTTTATAGACATTCCAACTAGACCTTGGTAAACATCCATTATTTCATTTGACTGATGACTCTAAACTAAATAAGGCTCCAATGACTTTAGACAACACAAGAGATTAAATTCTGGGTTCCAATCTATGCTATACTGTTTAGTAAAAGAATTAACTTTTAAAAATAAAAATTACAAACTGCTTATGATATAAAATTTCAAACATACACAAGAGTAGAGAGATTAGTATAACAACTCTCTCCCCTCAATGTATCCATCACTCAACTTCAACAATTACTTTATTAGTCAATCTTATTTCATCTATACCCATTTACTATCACCCACCTCAGATCCATGTACACACAAGCATGCATATCCAACACATACTTTTTAAACAAATCCCAAACATCATATGATTTTATCCACACATACTTAGCTATTAAACTATTCCTATTAATGCCTCAGACACTGAATCTAGATGTAAAGCAGTCTACTTTTTTCACTCCAATATGTCACATTGTCCTTGGCTGCTTATCACAATTGGTGGGAGCCCTACTGGCATTTAGTGGGTAGAGGCCAGGGATGCATGACTGGTTCTCATGTACTAGTTTCCCTCTTCTTTTGAAACTTCTCTTTGACAAACACATGTAATTAGATTTGATAAAATAATTAAATGTATTGATAGTTTGAATCCATCTTACTAAGAATTCACACTATGGAGAAACTCACAAAGTACTCTAATATATACGAATAAAGATTTTCACAACATGGTTCAAATAGTAAAAATAAGGAAACAACCTGAATGCCCATGAATGTTTTTTAAAAAAATCAACCTAACAAAAAATATATCCACTCAGTATAATGAATCTATTTAAAAAGAATGAGATAAGTGTATAAATATGTAAATGAAAAATCTCAATAGATATTAAGTAAAAAATCAATTTTTTAATGATTTTAATGATTACAGCAATATTTTCTGTTAAGGATAAATAAGAAACTCTTACCAATGATTTAGTTTAGACAGAAAGACTGGGTATTAAAGGGTATTAAATTTTTAAAATTTTTTTTAAAAGATTGGGTATTTGGAGAAGAAAAGGGAACTTTTTTTTTTAATGTAGGTGACAAGTCGGGAACTAAAAGCAGTTCAAATCTAATGACATCAATTCATTACTACTACTATTTTTACTAATACTAGCAACATCACTTACAAAAATAATAGAACAAAGATAATAAAAATAATAAGACAATAGGCATAAACCAGTACTATCACAGATAAACTAAGCTATATTGTTACTCTACTTACGAGACAATTATCTTCATTTTATAATGAGAAAATTGAGCCTTAGGAATGTTTAACTTTCAAGATAGAGCATTTCTATAAACACTATCGCATTATCCCAAGAAATGAGTATGGACATCTCCTATATGAGCGAAGTCAGTATGAATTGAACAGAATAAATTGAGAGAAGTTAATTTAAGGGACTGTTGAGGTACTAGCAAAGTTTATAAATGATAAATCTATAGAAATGTAAATCTATGTAAACTGTGAGATTATGTAACAATTATTAGGCTTAGAAAGAGAAGAGGCATCCCAGTACCTTCAAGTAATCCATATCCCATTAATCATATATGTGCCATATACCCTGAAACAAAAATAAATATGGCAAATAGGTTCGGGGTAAATCTCTAAAAAATTGTTTTAAAGCATCAAAACTACACAAATAAAAAAATAAGAAATTTTGCTGGTTTGTAATTTATTAAGCATCACTGGTGGGCCCAGTTTTCCAAATTTGGATAGGGCATCATCAGAAGGGGATTTTTCAAAGTTTTTATATTTTTTAAGAAAAGATTTGATTACTCAAGCACAGAAATACAATGCCATATCATTTTGAAATGAATTCCTCTATAAGAGATTCAATGCAGAATTTCTCCCTAAAAGATGAAGTTTTCTCAAATAGTCTACGGAGAGTGACTATCAAATATTGAGCCAGTCTTACCTCCCAAAATAAATCCCACTTGGTCATGTTGTATAATTCTTTTTATGTATTGTTCAATTATATTTGCTAATATTTTGTTAAGGATATTTACATCTATATTCATAAGGGATAATGATCTTTAACTTTCTTTGTATGGTCCTTGTCTGGTTTTTGCATCCGCATAATACTGACCTTCAAAAGGGGTGTTTGTACTCTAGGGTCCTGTGGTCCCTAGCTGGTCTACTTTCTTCTCTCTACATATTCTTATGTTTGTTTTATATAATGACCACAGTCTTTAGCTGTACATCATGAGAGAACAAAGAGAAGTGCATCTATTCCATCTTATCCCAGAAACAATATATTAATACTTTTTGATTCAACAAAATACAATTTAATTTTAAATTATTCCTTGCTTTGTCTTCAATTTCTCCACTTCTTCCAGAGAGCAAGGAAAGCAGCTAACCCAAGTTATTCTTCCTTTTCACAATTCTTCCTCAACATATTCAACTTCTTTAAAAAAAAGTAGAAACTTTTACACAATTTGTTAAGTTCTAACTCTGAAACACTAAAGTGACTACAATGATTATTTCCACTAAATAGTTAGAACAGAATTATTTATTGTTTTATAATGATAGGATTTGTCACTCCAGCTGCTGAGAATGCCATTAGACCCTTCAGGGTTTGCCTCAGCTGAAGAAAGCCTCCCAGCCCAAGGCCATGTCCTTTGGAGGCAGCCTACAGCCAGTGACAGAGGCAGGTGCACAAAAGGCCCAGACATTTTGACAGAATGAAGAACAACTCCAAAGGCCCATTTCTGCTCCACAGCTCCCTGTGGAATCAACTGAGACTGCTGGGACAGCTTGACTTTTCCCTGACCAATCCTGTATTCCTCCATTCCCTTTGTAGGTATCAATCACAAAATAATTCCCTAATAAATACTCTGCACACTAAATTCAATCTCAGTGTTTATTCCCTGGAAAATCCAACCAGTAGCTGGTACTATAGGCAGGCACCACCACATCTGGCTAATTTTTCTGTTTTTTTGTAGAGACTGGGTCTTTCTCTTGTTCAGGCTGGTCTCGAACTCCTGGGCTCAAGTAATCTTCCCACCTCGACCTCCCAAAGTGCTAGGATTACAGGTATGAACCACCATGCCCAGCCTCAGATACTGTTTTAAACAGGATATTACGACACAGTATTACCTCTGGGAGGTAGATAGCGGCTGGACTTGGGTGGGAAGTGATCAAAGAGTACTTTAGCTTTATCTATAATGTGCTATTATTTACAAAAAATATATTTGTATTTCATTAGTGAGTTTTTTAGTAGATGCATGGGGGGAAAAAAACTGGGCCAGGTGCAGTGGATCATGCCTATAATGCCAGCACTTTGGGAAGCCAACATGGGAGAATCACTTGAGGCCAGGAGTTACAGGCTGCAGTGAGTTATGATCATGCCACTGTACTCCAGCCTGGGTGACAGAGTGAGACCCTGTCTCAAGAAAAAATAAAATAAAAATAAAAAACTGAAAGTAGGCTGGGCGCGGTGGCTCACGCCTGTAATCCTAGCTCTCTGGGAGGCCGAGATGGGCGGATTGCTCGAGGTCAGGAGTTCAAAACCAGCCTGAGCAAGAGCGAGACCCCGTCTCTACTATAAATAGAAAGAAATTAATTGGCCAACTAATATATACAAAAAATTAGCCGGGCATGGTGGCGAACGCCTGTAGTCCCAGCTACTTGGGAGGCTGAGGCAGGAGGATTGCTTGAGCCAGGAGTTTGAGGTTGCTGTGAGCTAGGCTGACACCATGGCACTCACTCTAGCCTGGGCAACAAAGTGAGACTCTGTCTCAAAAAAAAAAAAAAAACTGAAAGTAAAAACTTGGCCAAAATGTTATTAATTCTGAGTGATGGAATATAAGTTATTATTAGTTTCCTTTTTGTCTTTGGTTATATTTTTTAAATTTCCCAAAAGAAAGAAAGAATGAAGAATAACTTTCACTACAACCATACCTATATCATCATGGAATCCCTTTTGCTTTTCCTTTTATATCTGTTCCTCTTTGGGTTGCTACAAGTACTGACACATAAAGATTTCTAAGGGCTAATTTCTCATTATCCTCCTACAGATCTTACCAAACTCCAAGGCTCTTACTCAGCCTACTCATCCGTATGACCCTTTTACTAGTTAAAGTACTGAAACACTTCTACACCAGGAAGTTCTACTTCTCCGGTGGCCTATCACTATGATACAACACAGCAGGGGACCTCCAGAACTCCACCACAAATCTATTGTGATGTCAGTTCTGACCATACCATTATCAGCTGCTAGGTATTTATTTTTATTTTATTTCAGCATATTATGGGGGTACAAATGCTAAGGTTACATATATTGCCCATGCCCCCCTCCCCCCTTGAGTCAGAGCCTCATGCGTGACAATCCTCTAAATGTTGCACGTCTCACTCATTATGTTTATATACCCATCCCCTCCTACCCCTCCCACCTGCCTGACACCTGATAAATGTTATTCCTATATGTCCACTTAGGTGTTGATCTGTTAATACCAATTTGCTGGTGAGTACATGTGGTGCATGTTTTTCCATTCTTGAGATATTTCACTTAGTAGAATGGATTCCAGCTCTATCAAAGAATATACAAGAGGTGCTATATCACCATTGTTTAATCTTAAAGCTGAGTAGTACTCTATGGTATACTTATACCACATTTTATTAATCCACTCATGTACTGATGGGCACTTGGGTTGTTTCCACAACTTTGCAACTGTGAATTGTGCTGTTATATTCTCTAGCCAATCCTTCCCTCAAATCTAGCACCAACATAAAAATGCTAACAATTATTTCACTACTAGATTTTATTACAATTCCCATAATATAAAACAAAATATAAAGTGACTGCATAATCAGCAATAAACAGAATTCTGAGAGGGCATATTCAAAACTCCTGCTGACTTTTGCTTGGAGTAGAATCCAGATAAATACAGGATAACACAAATTATGTCATATTGAAAATCAACCATTACAAAATTTCTTTCTATAAAAAATTGATTTACACACGTCCTTTTGACATAGCTATATAAATCCCACATTACAAGAGTTTCCATTTAGTTTTCAGCCAATATTAAATTAGTATCACAAATAACTTTTATCATAGTTATAATTGTGAATTGCTGAATTTGTCTTTTATGCCTTAAAAAAGTCACCATAGATAAAATATTACTAAATGATATTTAAAGATCTATTGGCTCTATATAATTTTATAGTTTTCTAAAAATATTACTAAAATGTTTAAATATTCTAATACATAAGACTCTTACCTCAGCTCTTTTCAGCATTTCCCACTTATTCAATATTTTCATGGCAAATACCTTATCTGCATTTTTTAGTTTTACTACGGCAACCTAGAAAACATAAAGGAAATACCACTTTTAATATATCACAAATAATATTTTTTTCAGTCATCCATTTTCCTTTTTCCTCTCTGTAAAAAAATAAATACCAATTATCAATTATTTCAATGCAGTTGAAATTCTAAGATCCTAAATTAAATAATGTTATCAGGTGAAAAAGTTATATTAGTGATCATGTGCCAAACCAATAACTATATTTCTGAACATTGTATCAGTTGGTAATTATATATTATATCCTCCTTTCCAAGTTTTCTGCCCTGGAATTTAAACTCAACATCTACTATAACTAAGAAATTGACCAAAACATACAACATGAATGGACTAGAACTTGTTAAATAATGCATGCCAAATTCCAACACGATGCTATGGGGAATGCCAGCTGCCAAAACAAATACGTTCTGTGGGGATCAAACAATATGAAATAAACTGAAAATGATCCTGGTTTTCATACCACATACTCTTACACACTATACCACAATCCCCATTCACACACACCCCTATATATAGATACACACATACCTAGAAAGCAATTAAGACTAACAGTTTCAAGATTTTACACATCCTTTCCCAAAAAAAGGAACATATATTTCTGTATTTTACATTTCACTTATGAATCAAAACTGTCAAATACAAATAAGACCCCATTCTCTCCCTTAACACACTGATTACATAACGATTTCTATCTCTGCTTCAATTTGACTAACTAATCTATAAGGCCCCTTCGGGCTCACTGGATTTGCTACAGGACTGAGGCTAACCTACAAAAGACAAAGATAAAGCATCAGAGAAGATGTTTCCACTTAACTGAGGAGCAAGGAAGAGAAGAAAAATACTACCCTCATATGCAGAGGGAGAGGATAAAGTCTATACAGCAGATCTTCAAACAGTTCAAAGGGATATTTCCAAGAATAGAGAATAGGTTTAAACTCAAGTGCCAAAATAAAAAAAATAATAATAATCTTAATAGCAAATGTGCATATCAAGGTAATTTAATAAATTTGATGGACAGGTACAGTGGCTCACAGTTATAATCCCAGCACTTTGGGAGGCCGAGAAAGGAGGATTGCTTGAGGCCAGGAGTTCAAGACCAATCCGGGCAACATAGCGAGCTCTTGTCTTTACAAAAAACAATTTTAAAAAATTAACCATGTGCAATAGTGTGCACCTGTAGTCCTAGCTAGTCAGGAGGCTGAGGCAGGAGGATCACTTGAGCCTAGGAGTTTAAAGCTGCAGTGAGCTATGATCATGCCACTGCACTCCAGCCTGGGGAACAGAGTGAGTTCCTGTTTCAAAAAAACAAAAACTGGATCAGACTACAATAAAAGTAGTATGACCATATAATTAAAATAAGTGTATAATACTGAACATTTCTTTGTAAGCGTCTTAAATAGTTATGACTGTGATTACAGTTTTTCATCAATTAAAATGGTGAGATATAAGAGGAAGTTATTTCAATTTCAAATACAACCACTTTAGTTTTTAATTATATCTGGTCACAGCTGGAGAAATGATTGGTCAGTTAAAATGTTCTTCCAATGGGCTCATACTTTAAGTAAGGGAGCTATAATAAAGAGCAAGGAAAAACTCCAAACATTGTTTCACTAAGATCTCTGAAAGAAAACACAAGCTGAGCTACTCTGTAGACTCTGAAATCAAACTTTGCACAATTGGGAAAGCACGTGGACAGGACAAGAGCACTAAGCTAGACAAGCCCACACTTAGAACAAGGAAAAGACACAGAAGGCTATATCACTTACACCCTATCTTATTCTGATTTAGGGAAAAATGGCTCCAAAACTTAGGTACCCCCTAAGTGAGAGAAGTATTTCTAGCACTGTATGATTCACCAATTTTCTCTATGTAGGAGTATATAAGTATCTGATATAACTTCTAGTAATAGTAGTGGTAGTACCAACCAACACATTGAGTGTGTTCTAAATACCAGGCACTACGTTAAAAATTTTACACAGGTCATCTATAGTTTTATATAGGTTCTTTATCTGCAATTCTAAAAGACAAAAGGTTTTCATAACTCATTTGGCAGCATGTACTGACATCAGGCTATTAACAATCTTTTTTTAAAATCTCAGTGTAAAAAACAAACACGCGGCACTGCAGAAACACAAATGCATTTGCTTATGGGGTGCTGCTCCAAAACCCAATAAGGGTGTTATATAAAATAGAGTATATAAGTACCTTTTCAAATCCAAAAAATACACTGGAACCAAAACAACTTCTGGATTACATAACTGTGCAGTAGGAACGATGATGATGCCTAGTATTTAATGAACACGCAAACACTTAGCTGGCATTTGCTGTGGCTACTTAGGAAAGTGGTGATAACATGGACTCTGAAGCCACACTAATTAAGTATGAATCCTGGTTTGTCATTAACTGTATAATTCTTGGCAAAAAACTTAACCTTTCAATCCTTCAGTTTTCTCATCAATATAATGGAATTAGTAATAGTGCTTACCTTATATAATTGTGGTAAAGAATAAAATAATTAATACAAGTATAAAGTGCTTATATCAGGGTCTGGTGCTTAGTAAGTATTCAATAGGTGTTAGCTATTATATATGCCAGGCATTACACTAAGTACATTTCAGCCCCATCTCTTAACAGTCATTTGCTCTACTACTACTGTGTGGCAGACAGTATAACTCTCAAGTTTTCTAATTTCTCTACAAAAAAGAGAAACTTGCGTCTCTTTAATTTCTAACTTTTTATAATTTTATACCAATGATACATACATTTACATAGAACTATAGATAGAAATACCCTCAATTAAATACAAATACATAAAAATAAAACTAAGCCACAATGTTCACCATAGTGTGGTTTTCAATAAACCACTATTTTCTGATAATAAAATATCAGAACTTAAATATCCTAAATGATAAAACTAAATATGACATATCACAGAATGACAGAAATTTATTCATATGCTTGAAAAAATTGTTAAAGAACACACTTTAATGGAGAAAAGTTCACAGTATAATGCTAAATGAAAGTTTACTAATAGTTTGTACACTGTGATATTCTGCCTATACATACACATAAAATGTGTACCATAAATTTCTATGCCATATCTAAACTGATAAAGATAAGTATCAAAATATTGAAATATCATATATTTCTAGGTGATACGATTTCTACTTGCTTTTCTACATTTTCTGTATGAAACATGTGAAATTTAGAGCATGGAATGGAAAAGGACGCAATACCACACCTCATTCTGGTCATGAAATGTCCACCAACTTTTGAAGTATTGTAGTGTATGTAGTATGTGACTGATAAGGGCCAAAATGAGAACCATTCTACACATCTGTGTGGTCATGAGGAATGCTACATACTGAAGAGTAAAAAATATTACAAAAAAAACTTACAAGCTACCTTGTAAGTTGCATGAGCTGTCTAAAAGCTTTTCTGGAATAAGATGGGGTGTGGTGAAATATTCTTGAATTATCAAAATGATAATATAATGAGAAAAGAATATAAAGCTTACAAAGTAATAAAATAAAATGAAATTGATCTTGCTTAGCTCCTTTACACTACAAATCATTTTCATGTTCATATCACCAGAAGAAAATCAAGGAAAAGAGGATAATTTTAGAACTGTAAGGTCAGTCATAGCTAATTAAATATAACAGTATAGTATGTTAAAATGTTCTTTCTTATTTAATTTGATCAAAATGAAAAGTACACTGAATATAAACTGGATGATTATAAATTTAATACAGAACAAAGAAATGTTTTTAAGAACACTTAGAGATGTCCTGAAAGACTTTATAGTAAAAACACTATGATATCAGAAAAACTGCAAACACTACAGAAATAATCAGTATATGACAAATTTATAAAAATCAATTTTTAAACACAATGTAAGTATCATCATTTGTACCTATAATCTATAATTTAAGAATGATCACACCAAATAGGATCTCAATACCCAAGAAACAGTTACCACAGAGGTCTGTAAATCTACTCTACTACAGTGTATCCAGAATTCACCAAACCACCTGTGTTCCGACCCATTCCAAGCTACCATTATATTTTTCCTGGATTGTCCTACCTGACCTCTCTACTTCTATGACCAATCTATTCTCAATGCTGCAGCCGCAGTAATTGTTGAAACATGGCTGAGATCATGACACTATTCTGCTCCAAAACTTACGATGGTTTCCCACCTCTCTCCAGCTGAAGTCAAAGTCCTTACTACAGTCTGTAAGGCCAACATGTTCCGGCCCTCTAAACTCCCTGAACTCATGCTGTTAATAATTTCCCCCTGGTTCACTCTGCTCCAGCCATAATGGTCACCTTGTTCAATCCTAACTCAGGGCCTTTGCACTTGCTGTTCCCCGGGCCTGGAATACTCTACCTTCATGGAGTCACACAGCTTGCTCTCTCATTCCCTCACTGAAATGTCACTCTGCTCCTTCCCATTCTTTGTTTCATTTTCCCCTTCTTATCATTATTTAATAAACTGTATATTTGTTTATGCATTTTGTTTGTTATTTGCTTAATTCACTAAAATATACACTATATGATTTGATGCAGGTTCTTTGCTGTAAAAATAAACAAAATCTATGAGGTCAGGGATTTTTCTTCTTATTTATTCACTAGTATATGCCTAGTGCTTGGGAATCAATAGGTATTCCATAAATACTTATTGAACAAATGACGGATGATGTATAATCTATGTGGGTGTATATATATGGAAAGTTGTATGGTGTCAATATTCTCAGCTTCAAGTATAATACTAAACTTATATTCAAACTCCAAAACAAGGCATTATGATCAAAGCATACAATTGTATATTTTATGATTTATTAAGTGTGTATCAGATCATCCCAGCTCATTCTGCTCTCTTAACAGGCTTTCAAAGTCTCAACTTCACAACTTATCCTTTATTACCTTTTGTCTGTGGCTGATCACTACTTACATGTTCATGCCTTTGTTTCCTTTTTATCTCCTCTATATAACACCTA